ATCTCGATCTCGAGAATTGTATCAATCTCTCTCTTTTATAAGTGAGAAGAAAAAAAACGAAAAATTGAGAAATTTACCAAAAAAAGTAATTGTCAAAAAAACGTGGCTGCATATTTTGAGACGCCTTTTGAACGCGTATATTAAAAGTATATATATATATATATATATATGGACACACACACATGCACACACACAAATATTCTCAAGAAACGAGTTTTATGCATCTACGGATATCACACGATTTACAATTTCATCATATATGCGTGACGATACACATATTGTATATTTTATGTAAGGCTTTAAATGTTTCATCAAATGACTATTATAATATATGCATATATATATGTATATGTATGTATGTATGTATATATATATATATATATATATATATATTTGTATCGATCGTTTTCCTTAAAACCTGATCGCGATACGATCAACGGTGATCTGTAATTATAATGTAGGAACGATCTTGCTCAGGTAACAGTCACGAGATCAACGTTGCGATTGTATTGTGGGGAAAATTTGTTTCGTTTCCCCATGATAATGAGCCACGATTAAGATTGTCTGAATGAATAACGATAATTACAGACTTACCTCTGCGTCTCCGGTCTTCAGTCTTACACTTCTTACGCACAGTTCGCGCAACGACTCGGCCTCGAAGGTAATTAACGCTGCTTCTAAATGTTTCGAGATGCCTCAAAGTCTGTCGGTACGAGGCCGAGTCTTCATCGAATGGAATGATACAGACTTGAAAACAGTTTCTGAACGTGCTTCTGCGTTTGTTTGAGTCTGTGCCAAGAATGTTTCAGCCCGATTCAACCGAGTATAGGACCAAGATTATCATGCCATTGCCACAGTGAAGGGAAACGCGATCGACTTCAATTTCTTTCTCCGTTCTTGGATCCGTTCTTTTCCACCAGCGTCGCGAGAAGACGGAAGCTGGACAGTGCGATGCATCATGATATAACCACGTGTAAAATTGTAAAATTCGTCTGAGGCGTTCGGGTGAGATGAACAAGGTGTTTTCTTTCCCTTCTCTCTGGTCCGACAAAGGACGTTTCGCGCGAAGGAAAACCAAGTTCATTGACCCGTCCTGCGGAAGCTCGATATATAGATTGTATTTTTGGCTTATTATTGTAAGACTGACTATGTTGCTATATTAAAGATTGCTTCGAACATCCGGGCTATCCTTAATCGCGAGATTCCTTCTTCTTCGGCCTCTTGACGGATAGAAAGGATTTCGATTTGCTGCAGTAAAGTTATACAAAACCGAGTAAAATATATTTTCTATCGTTTATTTGTATAAAGATTACAAAACTTAAAAGTACGTTCAACACGTTAAATGCTGCCTTCTCTTCGTTTTAAATTACAACTTATCTTCGGACGGATTGAAATTGTTAAATTAGATTCTTACAAATAATTTGACGTACATCGTCGTACGTCGGTGCGTTCCTCCTCTGAGTGTCGAGTAAGATAAAAACAATGCCGTAGATGCATTTCAGTTGTTAACGATACAATATAGTATGTTATTGTTTTAATATAAAGCAGACTTCATGGACGGTATTATTAACAGTACTCGCTGCGTCTTGGGAAATTTACGACGTCCCTTTCGAACTTGTTCGATGTCGATCGGACGAGCACGAAAGTACGTCGCTCGACTCCGAAACAGCAGCGATACAACGTTTGCTCCTTCTTTTTTAACACAAAAATAGACTTGAACATTAATCTTATCGTAAGCGCTAAATTACTAAAAATAGATCTTTGACGTTCGAACAAACAACTATACAAAGTCAAACTCTTCGTAGTGGCAGAGTACACGATTAAACGAGATTCAGAGTGACGTTTATGTTCAATAGATCATTTCGCGTTTTCCACTATCGTACCCTACTGTACAGCAACTTTTCTCAATCGGAATGTTAGAATTTGATTCGAATTGATGATCGGGTCTCATTAACGTCCACGATTAAGTGGATATTATTACTAGAAAAGTTTTGGTGTACTAACTTGTTCTCGACTAACTAAAGTAACTTTCATTTGTACTTTACGACTCTTTGCCTTACGGGACGCATCGCCCTGTTCGTTGAACTACGTTCAAAGTACAATGAAAACATCGTTTGCGTGTTAGTTCGACACGCTTCGTGAATCACGTGAAACGAACGTTACAAAGATTAAAAGAATATATAAAAAAGAACACGATCTCTACACTTGTGCGTTAGATATAAAATTTCTGACGTACATCAACGAATCGAAACGACTCGACGATAGTACGCGTCAAAAGATATTAAAAAATCGAGTCACGCTTGATCATCTTCCAGCGTGACTCGATTTTTCTCGACCATCATCTGATTCCAGGTGGTATCGTTCCAGTTTTGCACCAAATTTTAATCAACACATTGAGACATGGCAATGAATGAGATAAAGCCAAGAACCTACCCCAATTTTCCAGCTTCGTTAAATACTTGATGATCGTTAAGTATCCAAGTTGTTATCCCACGCTGAACTCCTGTGTTCGAAAGTATCTCGTCACGACGACCAGGAGTGATACGAGCAGGAAACCCGTCGGCGTGGCCAACGCCGTGGCAGCGTTATAAATCGGACAGTACGGGCACTGAGAACTGCCGCACACCTCGCAAATGTTCAACGTGTACGTGGGCAGGGCGTCGAATATGCTCTCGTTGAAGCGTTCTTAGAAAAGCGAAGAAGGAAATTAGTTTTGAAAGAGATGGTCGATTTTACGAAGGAGAAACTATCTGTTTACCCGGCGAATAGTAATCGTAGACTCTTATAGGAAGGTATCGCGACATGTTAGCGACCGGAAACCATCTCTCTATAGTGAAGTTCACGCATGTTTCTTCTTGATCCAAGTAGTCGAAGTAGAAGAGGACTTTCCTCTCTAGGAACCGTGCTCTCTGCAAGTTCCTCACTTGTTTAGACCGGATGTATCTGTCCAAGGTTTGTTGCTGAATGATGTAACCCGTCGGGATGGCTACGTCTAGCACGGCCATTCCAGAACGCGAAGATTCGTTGACGTTCGTCCACCTGTAAAGAGACACCGATCGATCATCGTGTCTAGCAACCTCTTCGAACCGCGGCGTCGAATCGTCGTTTCACCTCTGGCAGCTGAGGTACGAGATGTGAGACTGATTCCTCCCGTGGAAATTGGCTCTGGTGACCAGGTCGAAGGATTTCACGGGCGGTTGCGTTTGGAATTTAGCGATGTCCACGTTGTACTGTACGGACATCTGTAGAATCGCGTACCCGGCGCCCTTCGCTTGTACCTTCACCGTTCCCCAGGCTTCTGGTATCTGGAAACGCGACGAACACACTTATCGATCGACTCGAGAATGTTTAAAAGCGTTTGTCGTACGAACCTCTATCGTTTGAAGCCTCGCAAGATTCTGATCGTTCACGAACAGCGTTTTAGTTTGCCCCGGGAGAGCCGTGGCTTCGACTGTGACCGTTAAAGAGCTGACGTCTCGAATTCTTGACCTGATCGTGTAATCCATTAACGCCTTCATCGCCCACGCGGTGTCTTGCGTGGACGCCCAGCCGCCGTCCGTCAATCGCTGCGAGTTCAACCATTTCACTATAGGCTCTATCATTATCTCCTGACGCGCTACATGCACCAAAAGCGCGTACGCGGTGGTCTCGATGTTCTCGGAATCGTATATGTAAGGCAGACGCGGGAGAAGGAACGGCTTCTGGTTCTCCAGCTTATAAGGAGGAAGAGGCACTTGCTCTCTACCCCAGTAAGTCAGCCCGCCCTCCCTTCGGGCATGCCTCGACAAAATATTGAACGCCTGACCGGCGGTAGAAGCTTTGGCCAGTAACAAGGCGTAAGAGACTATCGCTATGTCGTAAGGCTTGCCGCGGTCCTCCAGCAATTTCAAATTCCTCTCCAACCATCTGACCGCTCCGCTGGCGCTCACGGCGACCTGAGTTCCCAACCCTTCGGGCAGATCCTTTACGCTCTGCAGCGTGATCAGAACGTGAGCGGTGAGACTGATGTTTCTATGACGTATTATGTCGTGCTCGTAATTCAAAGAGCCGTTCATCTTGCGATCGGGCAACCACGTGACTTCGCGAAACGATCCTTCGGGCGTCTGGTGCTTCAACAGCCAAGACACGGACTGAGCTATCACTTCGGGATCTATGTAAAGATAGTTCTCCCATTCGTAGAACCGTGCCTCTTGCAAGACGCGGGCACAGTACGCCGTCAACCATACGCTGGGCGAAGACTGGTTCCAGTCGGTGCGGAACAAACTGAACGACCCGTCGGGACTCATGAACGACAGCTGCCTCTGATAACCGATGTTCATGTAATGAAAGCTTTCCCGTTCCTGGGTTCTGTTTCGTTGGTTTATCAGACGCATGTACATCGTCGTGTACAAGTTGGCAGCGAAGCTGAACATGTTCTGTTCCGCGCAGTCCATAGGAAGGTTCATGAGACTGGTCGCGTTCACAGGCATCGTCGGGAAGATCGGGCCGACCACGTCTCCCACCAGGCTCAGCACCGCCTTGTTCGATCCGAACACGTAGTAACGGTTTTCGTCGTAGGGTATGATCGGTGTCTCCGTGATGTTCACGTGCATGTATTGGAACACGTAAGCGCGGTTGCTTAGATCGAGCAAGATGGACTGGTGCCTGTGCTGAGGCAGGCCGTCGGACTCCACGTGCAAGGTGCGAGTGACCGAGTCCCTTCCGATCACCGTGGTAGCGTAGATGTGCACTTTCACGTCTCCGAGTCTAACCGGTACTATGGGCAAGTAGACAATGGCAGCGTCCTGGGCAGGCACCCAGATGAAGAACTGATGCTGCCCGAAGGACGTTCGAGGCTTGTACGATTGAACGATACCGTTGTCCTCGACGTGTACGAACTTGTAATCCCTCGAACCGTCCAACACGACGACGGCTTCGATGTTGTGGCGCAGATAATTGAAAACGGACACGCGGATACCGATCTGTTCCCCTTGTTTGCTATGAGTAGGCATCTCCACGTTGATGTAGAACGGGAGGACTCCCATGTACCCGATGGACTTGGGTAACATGCCGAAGCCCACGCTGGGCGACACGCTGAACGCCGTCACCATCCAGTGAACCGGTCTCCTGGGCACGTCTATGTTGAAGATGAATCTTCCGTGAGGTCCTATGTTTATGTCCTTCCACATCCAAACGTTCTCGTATTGCCTCTGGAGTCGGTTGAACCTCCACTTTCTGAACAACGCTATGTCCGTCACGTTCCTGTACTCGCAACCGGTCTCGTCCGTCCCGTCGTCGCAGTCGTACGTTCCGTCGCATTTTTTCTCCAGCCTGTAACACCTCCCGGTGAGGCATTCGCCGTACCCTTGCGTAGCGTTGCATATGTCCGGCCTTCGATAGAGAAACGCGTCCGTGAAAACTATCAATCCTACGTATTCGAACGTCCTGTTGACGTCTACGCCGAAGGTCGACGACGGGAAATAGACGACTTCGTCCGGCTCGCCCTCGTGGAACAGCCAGGTGTGCGAGTGAGTCCCGTTTGTGGTCTCGTCGAAATGGGCCATTTTCGATATCACGTTGGCGTACGTCAACTCGTTCCCGGCTTGCATCGTATAAAACGACCTGTCTATGCCCGAGAGGCCGACGTATGCGCCCGGTTCTCCGTAGATAGCCACCTCGACGTTCTCCCCGGTCCTAGCTTTCTTATTATTGATGAACACGGTGAAGTTGTTGCGCGAAATCCCGTTCACGGAGAAAGTCAAGGAGTCCGCGACGACGGTGCCGTATTGTCCGACGTTATAAGCGACCATGGTCGCAACGGGGGCCATCTCGGCGCTCAGAGGAATGGCGATCGTCTTTATATTGTGTACCATGTTGTCCTGCCCGGTGAGAAGTATCATACCCTTAGCCATTATCAGATAGTTGAACGTGTCCACGTAGAAATTCGTTTGGACGTGGAATATCATGTACTCGCCGACCTTTGGCTTCTCGGTGGACGTCGAGATTTTGATGTGCTGCTGATTAGGCGACTCGTGAGCCAGCAGTAGTATCTCGGTTTGCGTTCTGTGCCCCTCTCCGTCGGTCAGATAAGCGAATACTCTCATGGAAGAGATATCGTTCAGAATTTGCTGGGCTTGTTCCGAGCCGTGATCGAGACCGAGTTGTTTCCTCAAATCGATCGTGGTGGACCAAACGCCTTCGTTGTCCGGTGTATGTCTCAAATATTGAGTTTCCAGCGTTCTACGACCTCCCGATCTCGTGTCGATGTCCGCGCGAATTTCCATCACGGCTCCTCTCAGTTGCGACGGTCTCAGAGCCGAGTCGTCGTGGAACGATGCCACCAGATTCAAAGTGAACGGCATCGCCGGTTTGAAAACTTGCGGCGATCCTCCTAGGAACCGTATTTTCGTCGTGGAATTGAATATCCGCGCGGAGGAGAAGCCCGTGACTATCTCCTCCAGAAATCGTTCACCAACCGTCGCTGTCACCGTGACTTCGACACCGCCCGCAGCGGGGACGAACGACAGTAATTCCGCCATTGGATACCAGAAGTGATAGGTGCCGTTGAAGAATCTTAGCACGGGCGCTTTGTTGTTGTAATGATAATTCGGCACCTTCAGCCACGAGGGATAATATTCGTCGAAGTAAAAGTATCTCTCCACCGGCTCGGATCTGGTTTCCGCGTACGATCTGTCCAGCGATTTAAATTCCGCCTTCAAAGTCAAGTTCCCTCTTACCGGAGCACCGCTTGTGTAATTTGCTTGAACCGTGCCGTATATGTATGGATCGTTGTCGAAGAAGAAAGCCGGCATCGTGACGTTCACTTCGAAACGTGTTTGGTAGTATTCCTCGACCAAGAAGGTCTTCTCTTCCACTTGGCCCTGAGCTATCACCTGTATGATCCACTCCCCGAAGATCGGCTGATCGGAAAGCTGATAAGTCAACGACACCGTTCCCAGATTGCTCTGTCTGCTCAGCCATCTCTTCATTATTCTTCTGTACGGATCCAACATGTACACATCGATAGGATTATTGAACGCTTTCAGTTCCGTGTTAATCGGTATAGTTCGGAACTTTATAATCTCCCCTTGCATGTACACGGGCTTGTCCAACTGAATGAAAATAGTCATCGATCTCTGAGAGAACGTCAGTTTGGTTTCGTTCAAGAACGCTTGGCCACCGGTCAAACTGTTGTACGTTCCTTCCACTCTCAGTTTGTATTCCCCGTTAACGGACGTAGGAGGTAATCTCATCATAAGGGTCTCTGGAATGCCTTCTTTCACTTCTTGAAAATCAGCTGCGATTTCCACTCCGTTCCTTTGAATGGATGCACGTACCATCATCGGCAGTGGACTGTACAACACGTTTACGTCTAATCTGTAGATGTGTCCTGGTCTGACCATTCGAGACGCCACCACGAAGTAGGTACTGAGGAAACGAATTGTCAAGCATTTTGGTGCATCACACTATTAAATGACATCATCTTTCAACTTACGCCTCTTTTATTATAATACTGTCGGTGTTTCCCAGATTTCGTACTCCGTATCCGCTTTGATCTTTGTCTTCGAATCGATTATAAGGAGTGCGCGTCGATTCGCTCTGATCCTGCGAGAACTGGCCGTTCCCGCAGGCGATGGTCACTAACAAAATCCAGATCCACATTTTCTGCAATCAGCATCGATCGACTGTACGAAAGATCGCTTAACGCAATAAAATCATGTCGTTCTTTCTCACGGAGAATAAACCTGAGGAAGAAACCGTGTCGCTGATCGTAATTAAAAGCAGCGGTCAACGCCCAAAACATGATACACGTTCACCGACTGGCGTTCGGTTCAAGCCCGCACCTCTGATCACCTCTCCTTTTTCAGTGAAACAACGCGTACCTAGATCGCTTTAAACAAATTCACCGAAACTTACCTTTTACGTTAAGCTCCCAAAGTGTACTTTAGAAAAAATTTCATTATTAGAAGGAGTGGTCACTTCTGTACACACACTCCATTCCACTCCATTCGACACAGAAATAAGTGACTTATACTATACATATATGTATATATATATATATATATATATACTGAGACTGAGCTGCTGAGTTTTAAGAAGAGGGAGGAGGAGGCAAACCATGGCAAAAACTATACGCGCGAATGCGACATCTTTATCTGTTCGTTCATTCCTACCCAACTACTCTAACACTACAATATCTATATATACTCATTTTTATTCACTTTGTTATTTATGAGACTTAAACTCAGTGCTTTAAAAAAATGCGTTTAATATACAGGTCGTTGTATTACAGGGTATCCAGACTCCAGGCCTGTCTATGAGACTGAGGCTGGTTAAAACACTCGTGGAAACTACTTGTGTCCCGTGCAAATGTTGCCAGGGCACGCGATGTTCACGCAAGCTCTATGTTTCGGAATATGTTTTGTATCGACGTATATCTCCGGCTGTTCTTCGGGCGGATCGAACCCTTTCCTCCGAGCTTTCTCGACGTCGAACGGTCTTTCCTCGACCATAATGTCGGGTATCTTGGACGGATAATTCGGATGTTCCACGTTCGGAGGGTAGGTGGAATCCCTTAAGGATAGTTCTTTGCAGACCAACACCAGGCCAGCGATATGCGTCGGTCTCGGTGGCGTGTCTAATTCGCTTTCCCCGAATTCCTTGTCAGGCATGCAGTACTTGGCGCCCGCTTCGGCCGCTCTACGCTCCTCTTCGTCCGGGTACGGTACCTTGGTGCACAGGAACTCGTTGAACGAGCCTGTATTTTTGAATAACAATCGTTTGCCGACGATCGAGAAAGGATTGGTCGTGAATGTCCCGAAACAGGTCATTCGGAAGAAAAGAGATATGAAGCCGCTCGGTTTGTATTCCTCGTCTACGAGCCCAAATGTATTTCTGATCTCGTAGGGTTTCGGCAGATGATACAAATCGTTGCTGGCCATCATCACGTGGTCGCAAAGACAGCCAGGTATCGGGATCGCCGAGTTTCCCAGACGATCCTTTATCACTTCCTCCGGACAAATCTGTATCTCTTTTATCCTGTACACGTCCAAGAGCAGCGGTTTCGCTCGCATCTTCTCGACCAGTTCGCCAGGGTTCCTGGCGAACAGGTATACCTTGCCGACGTTCACGTTCACGGTAGCCATCCCCCCCGTACGCGTCATCTCTTTCGACCTGTCCGGTTTCGTCAACAGGAAGCCACTTTGAAAGATTCGAAACAGTGGCATGTCGATAAATTGTACGTCGACACCTAATTCGTTCGCCGACATCCTGTGCAGTTTCTCGGCGTGCATGTTCACAGAGTCGACGAACACCTCTAGGATATACAGTTTTCTGTCTTCGACAGAGATGCAGGTCTTCGGGGTGGTCATGTTCAGTGGGTATCCTTGTTCTTGCGCAGAGATGTCGAGGGATAATTGTTAATCGTTACTTAAAATTTTGCAATGTGGAATCGGCCTGAATCGTTCAAAAATTGACGGGAACAATTGACTGCAGGCGCGTAACGGAACGGAGGCGGAGAGCATACGTGGCGTACGTGGTACGTTTCAAACGTATAGATAGACGTATATACGTTTTATTTTCACGGACGACATAAGTATATATTCACTTGCTGCGTACAATTGTTCTGAACTCGTGGTTGCTCTTACATCGAATAGAAATTGCATCGCTTGTGAATGTATGCGATTCAATAAAATTCAATCGTCTCACAGAAGTCCATTTAGAATCATGAAATATCATTTCATTCGCGTCGCAATGAAACGCTCAAACTCGCATTACAGTGTTCATTATTATAAACGAGCGTCTCCGCGATTACTTACCATAAAAAAATATCGTAGATTTCTTAAAAGGAGGATCGCGCCATTGTGTGTGTGTGTGTGTGTGTGTGTGTGTGTATATATACGTATACAAATGTTAAAATCTACGAGTATAAATTTCAACTAAAAACAAAACATGTCCTGACGCGACAAAATTACGAGCAGCATTGGTCTACCTTAGTTATAAAATTCAGCTCTGCTTGTTCCATCGGTTAAAATAGGGGACATCGACCATACAAAAAGATTGTCTAAAATAAACGATCTCTGTTAGACCGCGAGGGAGTAGAACTGAATATATTTTTCATATTTTCCTTCCATTCGGACAACCGAAATTCGTCGTCTGTCACTAAAACTCGATCGCCCCAGCAGGACTTTTGCTTCGTCGGAGTGTTGTCAGTGACGTTGCTCATACTGTAAGTTTGATAGCCGGTATCTTGTGCGCAATTTGAGACGCTTTGCCGATCGGAGATGCCTAAAGTCCCGTTCGTTTGCTGAAGCACGTAACTTTCGAACGTGTTCGTAACAGGTGTGAACGCGTTCGCATTATATTTTAAATTAATCTCCGAAGTCGGGATCTCGAAGTTGCGTTCCACGCGAACTGAGTCGTTGGCCACTACTTCTGTATCCTCGACTTGCGTGCACATGGAAGCGTCTTCCGTGTTCAAATAGTCGTCGGTCTTCTTTTCCGTTGCCTGTACGTCTACTTTATCGAGAAACACGTCTGAAAATAATAATACTCAATCGTCAGGAATAATGTCCCTCGGAGCGGCTCAACAAATATTATGCGATTACCTGAGGAACGACGATGGTTTAATTTTTTGTACTTTACGCTAGACCGATCTACGCTCATGTCAGCGGTAAAGTCTAACCGAACGACCGATCGAGACCGCGATCTCACGCTTTCGCACGACATGTTTATTGTACTTTGTATGGGAGATATGTTCGGAGACGATAAACTGCCTGTAGTGATTGGGGACGGGTGATCGTGATCGTAATTACTGGTCGACGAACGCTGGAAACGAGAGGCTCTATAAAATCGTTTGAAATTTACGAACGAGTTCATTGGATTTTATTCACCTTGAACGGCGGGCCATGAGCCAACATTCCGCTCTGAGGAGGATTAGAAGATCGTAACAGAGATTCGTTTATCTCTATTGGCGATAAACAACTCGAGGAGTCTCCCTCGTTGTCTACGCAGTCCTCGTTGTTGAAAAACAATTTTCGCCTCAAGGAACTGTTACTTGAATTCGCGTCGTCGGTATCAACGTTCTGTTCCTAAAACATTTCCATTCTAAAAATCGTATCGCATCGACGCTCGACTGATCTGTACTTAAGTCGCGTTTACTTGAGTGAACGTAAAATAAGGTTTCAAAACTTCCATGACATCCGACGGCAGTTCGGACGGAAGCGTTAATACTGTTTGACTCCAGCCTACAGAGAGAGAGAGAGAGAGAGACGACAAGATTAAGATGTTCAAAGTACAGCTCTCTCAATCACTGATAAATACCATCTTTCTTAGACTTGGAGGATTCCGAATTCGAATCAGAGAAGATTCGTAACGGAGAGTCCATAAGTTTCGTTCTACTATCTTTCCTTTTCAATTCCCATGGACTCGGAATTATTTCGTTCATAGTAAAAAATTGATTGATCGCTGCCTGAGCTTTAATTTCATGTTCCGGATCTGTACAATATATTTGTTGTACGGGGAACTCGTCTATTTTCGCTGGTTGTATCACTGCCAGCTCGTCTACGCTCCACGCAAAGTCCGGAGAATGTTGAGACGGACTAGAAACCTGCCGATTCGCAATTGTATTAATGGGCATCGAGAACATTCGTGAGTAAAACGAGATCACGAAGAAAAACCTTGTTGAAGACAGTCGGACTGATCACGGACAAATGCAGTCTGCTAGTTAAATCGGTCTCGAAGGGGTTCCTTGCTATGAACTTAGTTAAACCTGACGGAGGTGTAAGGTGACTCGGAAGGACGCTGAAGCCACACTTGCTGTTTCGATGAGTCGCGTGCTTTTCGTTTCTATCACAGTGCCTCACGGGAGTCTTAAATATCACAGGGCTTTTAATCAACACATTTTCATTCTCGCTGTCACTTTTAATCGGCGTTGACCACTTCAATTGCTCCATCCCGGTATAACTGGAATAACGTGTTATTCAATTTTGGTTAATTTTGATACACCTACATCGAAACCTATCGCTTAAGCTAATCGCTTCTTTTCGTCTGACACGAAACCACGTCCTCGCATTTAAATACGTTCAAGCGATTAAACGTTTGTAAGGCTCACTTCTAACTACTGCTGATCCTCTAACGTCTTTTTCAAGTTCGTTGCTCCGACTTTTTGACTGAAACCAGGTAAGACCGATGCATGTGTCTCACAGATTTATTACATTTAATTGTTTGTTCAGTCTTGTGTTCTCCGATGTTGCGTTCGAACAAGTTTATCGTCATAAATTGCAAATTTGTTTACGGTCTTAACTGGTTTCAAACAACAAACATGGTCACGTAACTGCCAGTAACTGCACATTGTTGCACATCGGAAACAGTGTTGGCCACATTGTGGGGATTGTGGGATTTTTTGTAACTAGGCGTCTAAAAGCGTGCGCAAGAGATGTCACGTGACCGATCTTAAAAATATATAAGTAACGACACTGAACTCTGAATACTGGCCATTATTTGTTTTTGACGTTCAAATAAACTGAACAAATGATCATTTCAAATAACATGCAGTCAGATAACGTAATATTTTATCGCCATAAGTTGTAAGAGTACAAGCCATGAGTTGTAAATACAAAGTATATATTTGCAGCCATTTACGCTAGATGGCGCCACGAACGCCAATCCAATACAAAGTCCAATTTGAAGCAAAATTTTTCTCCAAAATCAGAATTTGTATCAGGAGAATATGATAGCGTAAGAGGTAGCACTAACTCCTGTTGATGTTACGATTCCAAGAATTTATTAAATTTCTATCCTATCTTATTTCTACTTATACTAAGTGAAGATGACATGGAAAAGGGATTGGATGCGGATAGAGTTCATTTAAACTAACTCTTTATTAATCAAACTCTTTTTTACTATAACTATCATTATATATCAAATTATTTCTGGACATGATTTTGGGTCTGACCTAAGCTTTCTATGTACGATGGCGCTTCCACGGTATAAATATGTAAATACAATATGGCCGACTGAAGCGGAACTTTGCGAGTTCTTCGGAATGGCATTTTGCCAATTGATTGAGGAACTGTGAGATTTGTAAATGTATGTGAATTTCGTGCGCACGGAATTTCTCAAATGACGGGGTTTAAGGGTATCGCGTGAACCGGTCGACTCCCTTCGATCGTGTCGAGATGATGCCAGGAAGGCGCTGCTACTGAGGAATGTTTATCATTTCCCGAGACGCAGCTCATCGTTCGTAGAGACCTTTAGTCGCAATATGAAATAATAAAACGTGTCGGCTCCGTGTTCGATCGAGATCAGTGCTATCGTGGGCCCAAGTTCGATTAGCCGGTATTCCGATCGACGATGCTCGCCGTATAGGTGTACTGTCATGGACACAGATGTAGAACTTGGCAAAGGTGAAGGGTGTGAAACTAGTCCAGGTTGCTCTGGCTATTCTAGCATGGTGCACAGCAAAAAAGTTATCAAACATGCACTTAGACAGCAGGCCAAGAGGCGCAGGAAAAATACAACGATCGCTGCTGGCAATTCCCGTACCCTGCCAAGGATTGTCGTCAAACCGTTACCTCCACCTCCACCGAATGATCCTCCTTCGCCAGTTAACAATGTACAGCATATCAATACGAGTAAGTGTAGTCTACTATTGTTTACCTCGTAGATAGATCAAGTGCCTTATCGGAATATTGTAAACGTAGCGACCGAAGAGCCTGCTGCCACAATGAGAGAAGTCCTTGCAAGTCTACCGGGGTTTAGCGTAAAGTCTGGACGCAGGCGGTCGACGAAAAGATTGTCAGCGACCGCACAGTTGGAAGCCGGACTCGTGGATCTCGAGTCTCCAGCGAGCATCTTGGCGAGCACGAGTTTGCGTGCACTCTTAAACAGGCATACGTTTCAAGGATTGCCGCCTTTGTACCAAAGGAAACTCGCACAGCTCTTACCTGCTGTGGACAGACAGGTAATTTTGACGATAGTTGCGAACAACGTTTATTTAAACACCTTAATGAAACCTCAACTCTGACGCATTGGTCCCATCAGGATGCTGCAACGTCTGGATTGAACAACGAGTTCTTTGCACGAGCGTGTCTAGAATGGCGTAAACGTTTAGCGGAAGGTGAGTTTACTCCGGAGAACCAGCAACGGTTGAAGATGGAGGCGGAGAGGGACAAGAATAAACTGGATCCGTGGAAGGTGAAGCATTTCGAACCTATATGGGGCGAGAAACGTGAACCGAAGCTCAGATCGGGTTTGCACTGTATGGAATCGAGATCCGGAGGTGCGGTGACACGTTCGAGTTTAAGACTTCGTTTAGAATCTAACGTAGATACTCACGTATCCGGCGCTCCCTGTCCTATCATCATTTCCGAAGTCAAAGTCGAACAAGATAATTGTAAAGCTGAAACTAACAGTACGGACGATTTGAACGAGACCAACACGGAGATACGTGAATTACTACCGACGGAATATAACGAAACGACGCGAGCGTTGATCGATGAAAAGCGTACAGAGTCTGTGAACGTGAGTTCTGTTGGGACAATACCCGACGTCGAGATGGATCGAGTCAAGTTCGAAGTAGATGACAAAGTCGTCGATCTACCGGTGGCGAAGGAGCATACGATCGAGGACAGCAAAGCGGTGGCTCAAGCTCGCCAGGAAACGATCTCGAACTCGTACGAGGAGGATGATATCGACTTACCTCGAGACCAGAAGAATCTCGAGGTGTTCGAAGTGGATGACAAAGTCGTCGATCTACCGGTGATGGAAAATACGATCGAGGAGAGCGAACCGGTGGCTCAAGTTTGCCAGGAAACGATTTCGAACTCGTACGACGAGGATATGGACTTACATCGAGACAAGAAGGATCTTGAGATTCTCGAAGTGTCCAAGGAAGACGCGATACTCTTACCTGAGGAGAACACTTCACCAACGCCTAGTAGTGAACAAACGGAACGCATGTCTCAAGCCTCGTCCCAATTGTCGACCGACTGCTCGTCCCAGACTTCCGTGGAACACGCCGCCCAAATAGCGACAGAGCGAATGTCCTCCCAAATGTCGGAAGAACAGATTTACTCTATGTCCGATTGCGAGACGACGACCATACTCGAGACATCGCCGTCGCATGAACAGGTCAGATCGACCGATATCGTTATGGAGGATTCGACGTTGATTAATGACGATCGGAGCGAGGCGACGCAAGCGTCCCGCGAAACTCCGACGGACGGCGAGTCACAAATTCCTGAAGGAATGGAGATCGATATCGAGACGTTGCAACGTATTCACGAGCTGGAGGTGATAATTCATATAATTTGTAAAAGGTTCTATTAAGAAGGGAAAGGACTTCATGTGCGATGGCTCTTTCAGGTAAGGGGAGAAATGCGCGAAGCGTACGAGGAGATTTCTGGATGTCCCGAGGAAATTATCTACCCTATCCTCGATGGTATGGAAATGGGATCGAACAACGCGGAAGAAACTGAAACGCCGGTGGTCGTCCCAGGGCAGCCTGAAGGTATCCCTGTCAGGGATCAGCAGGATATGAATAGTGGAAACGAGGATGAAGCTCTTCGGGAAGCGAATAATTACGTTTGCTCCGAAATGTTAGAGTGCAGTTGGTCGGTAGATCCCACGGTTAATAACGTCAGCAATGACAATAGGGTAAGCGATACTCGTACGAATAAAAAGTTTTAATCGCTTCGTAACAGACCCATATATTTTTTGTGTTACTCTTGAACAGACTCGGGAAGATCTTCAGGTACCATGGCCATTGGTAGCCGCTCTCGACGGATCTGTAGCTACAAATATTCCGATGCCTCCTCAGGACGAATGCAGTGAGACGCCCACCTCGACTAACTCTACGAATCCTCCTCCGCCTCCACCTCCTTCGCCGCCTCCTCCTCCTCCTCCTCCTCCGCCGCCGCCTCCTCCTCCTTCTTCCCAACGGTTCATCAACGCGGATTCGAACGTAGAACCGGTGAATTGTATTCAACTGCCGGTCGTCCAAGGGACTCCGTTTCAATCGGAAGGTCTTGCGATCGGCCCACCAAGCACGAGTTGTATAATGAAGAATTTTCAGCCCCAGAACTCGTCTTTAATCGCCTTCCCGCAACTCCAGCCCATCGGTTTCGTGCAAACGAGCTTTCACTCTGGACAAAATACGGCGCCTGCCTTGAGCACCACGTCCCCAATCACGGGCCAAATACCGACATCGCAGAACGCGAGCTCACAAGTAATGAAATCACAAGAGGAAGCCGTTCAAATGAACACGCAGAATAATAACTCGCGACCTATCAGGAGTAACATGACACAGAATCAAGTCCCGAATGTGGTACCCGCCGCGATCGGCGTGCAGCCACAAAATCGTCCTCAGAACGCCATAGTTATACAGCATCAGTCCCCGGCCCCGACACAGCCGCGACAGGTCGTGCCGGCTGTGCAGCAGCAACAGCAACAACAGCAGCAGCAGCAACAACAACAACAACAACAACAACAACAACAACAACAACAACAACAACAACAACAACAACAACAACAACAACAACAGTACCCTGGAACGACGGTCGCTCTGTCCACGAGATCGTCGCGTTCCACTAATCAAGGCAACCAGAGAAATTCCAGGAGTAGCAACAAAGACCAGGGAAGCGGCAGATCTCGCAGCACCACGAAGGAACCCCCCGGCGCTGTTAATTTGGAACGCAGCTATCAGATATGTCAAGCGGTAATTCATTCGCGGACGAATCGGGCTAAAATCTGTCCGACGCACGGTTTTATATTTTATATAAATTCCCACTTATGATTTTTCAGGTCATACAAAGTTCACCGAACAGAGATCAGTTGAAGGCTCACTTGAAACCACCACCCAGTTTACTTGCCAGAGGCGACGGCGCGTTCACTACGAGCAAATCCGGTGGTCGTACCATCACCACTGTCAAAACTACGAAGACGTCGCAGACGATACAGACTAAGCAAATTCAAAGTAAAACGCAATCCGTCATGCTGCGACACGTGTTTGCCACGACGCGTCAAGCTACTTCGGCAGAGGTACGATGCATTTCTTCTGGATCGTATTAGCTTCTATCGTGTGTTCTCTTTTGTTTCGAGGCAAGTGTTCATAGTCGCGCATCATTTGCTTTTGCTTGACGTTACGTCGAACAGCAGATTCGACGAGCAGTAGAGACGAGATTTTATAAAGTTAAACACTTTCATATTTTCGTTTGTTTTTAACCTCGCGATCTTGGAAAATTCAATGTGAAGCTGAGACTCGAGCTTGCATCAATGTACTATTTGATATTTTTCTCTGTGTACAGTGCTAATCTTGCGGGTGGCTTGTGATGATCACTGTATCATACAGGTACCTAAAACAAATAAATCTACTTCCTAGTGCTGAGTTTCCAAAAGTAGTGAGCAAACGATAATCACGATTTTCGATCCATAGAAAACGTTGTCATCCATCAAAGATCTATTTCGCTCAGTCGTTTAAAAGTAAAGGAAGGATGAGGCTTTAATAAAAATTATTCTCGTAGATGTTTCGTAAGTGAGGTGGGAGGGGGGTGAGAGATAGGAAGAGAGAGGTGAAGAAGGAGAGAGGGAGAGAAAGAATCTCTAACGGACAAATGCCATTCTCAGATTCCAGAAAGCAATACCGTAGCACAATTAGGATCCACGACGACTGGTGGACTAGGCCAATATATACTGGTACAGAGGACGGGTGTCGGGGACAGCGCGCCGAGGGCATCCTCTGCGCCACCTTTGCCACCGCAAATCGCCGGGATGGGTGTCGGAATTCACTTGGTGCGCGGTAGACCGGCCAGCGCAGGGGAGGGTTCGCATCAGGCGGTGACATTGAAGGCAAGGGGTGCCGACGGAAGAGGAGGAGGAGGCGCCGAGCCCGGAGCACCCGGTATGATCATGGGCGGTGACCCTCCGCCCCCCTGCGATTGCAACATGCGAGGCGCTATGGTAATATGCAGGCAATGCGGCGCGTTTTGCCACGACGACTGCATCGGACCTCAACGTATTTGCGCTACGTGTTTGATACGTTGATCACTGTTCGAACGATCGCTTCTGTACAAATTTAAGAGGACGAACCGGGCGATCGGAATGTTGGACACCAAATCCCACGGTAAGGGTCATCTTTGCTAGAATTTGTTGTACAGCATTTTAGAGTCAGTGGTGGTAGCAAAGGGCATTGACGGATACAGTTGTACATTTCTGGAATCGTTCATTTTTCTTTTTTTACGGCTTTTCTGTGATCATTTCTGTCAGTATTATGTACGAGACGATCATTGTAAATTTTCCCTCCTTTTTTTTAATGATTCATGGTTTTTACGAGAATCATTTTTTTAATGTCACTGATCGAGGTGTTTCTTACGTTTACCAACGAAATGTTACAACTGTGTTCTTACGGTTCTTCGGTTTATGGAAAACTAAATCTCTTGCAGTCAGACTCGAATACCGTCTTCCAATAAGCATCACATTCTTTAGTAACGCGTCTTTACTATTTATTTGTCTATCTACACGAAAGATTAAGTTTATTCTCATTAAGCAGAGGATATTCCTGTACACGTTGATCTCAAGTTTGAGAAAAGGTCGGAGACTTATTCTCGCAAAGCTCTCTCGTGGTCATTTATCTCGATGTAGCTTTTCAAGGCTCAACGACGAACTTCTCATTCATCATGCGTAGAATAATTAGTATAATAATGGAACACCCTGTACAGGAATCATGTTTAAGGACGACTATTATACTATTATTAATTATACTATTGACGATCGATTGCAATGTATGGATTGAAATCTGATTAGATATCGAAACGTAGAGTTTACATAATTTAGCTGTACGTCTTTCTTCGTTGCAAAACAATTGTTTAGCGTAAACAGAACGGACACGTTCTGCTCTTTTAGCGGGAAAGGTAAGAGAGACGTATATATTCCCATAAAGGGCAAAGGATCATAGTTTCACGATCGACATTTTTACATTATGTACATAATTCGCATTTCTTCACTTTTTTTATCTACGATCCTTATTTTACACGGGATACGTACGGGAGAGATCTATCCTCTATTATTTTCTTATGCGATTGTAGCCAAATATACTGAATTACGCTCGTTGCATCCGTGCAGAAATAAAATTAGAGATCACCGTGCTACAAAAGAGAGATCATTGTTTGTTAGATTGGAGTATGAATACACACACACACACACACACACACACACACACATATTAATCCTGTTTCAATTTTCATACCAACGTTTCTCTGGTAAAGAGCATGTAGTACTATTGCGAGTCGATAGAACAACTATTGTGTATTCGTCGCTCAAATGTAAATAAAATCACGTTCGCGTGTAATGTGCAAACTCCGTTTGGAACGCGAAGCGCACGCGATTAAAGTGCGGATCACGCGTTCACAGTTGGCGGAACGCCGAATTCGTACTTTATACGATGAGCCGCATTGCCTGTTGAAAACAGCAATAGCCACTTGTATGTACAAAGGTACTCTACGGTTTAAGAATGCTGAAATTATAATGGAAATAGAGCTGGGTCGGATGAGTATTTTTTTCATGACTCTTCGTCTCGTCGTCTCCCCAATTCCATCGAGGGAATCGTCGGCGACGTGCAACAAACGGAACCAGTTGCCTCCATTCTATCCTCTTGGACGAGTCAACTTTAACTTTAAGTTTACCGCTCATGGAACATCTTTTCTGTATACATTTATACAATTTGTTGTTTATTTAACAAGAGATTTTTATACTTTATATCATCGATCGTGTTCTCTCACTTTCTCGCATAAAATCGATCAGCACGATTTCAAATGAGACGCATCCTCGCTCAAGAGAGAAACAATTCCTCTGGATCAGACTTGATTCTGTTATCTTACTTTTTATTGAAATAACTTTCTACAAACAGAATTTCACGTTCGTGTTCTTTACAAAGTTGTCGCAGTGCTTTGCTCCTCGTTACACACGTACAGTTTCCCGTCCAAAGAAAAGATTCACCGAGGAACTACAACGCGTATATCTACAGATCTATTTTGATTTTTGCTTGAAAATCATCGGAGGAGGGGCGGAGGGGGAGTTTGTGGAATCGAACTGTACGGCTAAAAAAATAAACAAACGATTCACTCGTTTCGTAGAATCCGACAATGCGCTTGTACGCTAATCAACAGATTTATAATCACCGTCCTTTCATTTATCTCGATACACGTAGGTATGTATAGTATTAATTCAGTCCTAGACAATAGTAGATAGACCAGCATTTGTAACTAGTTATTAGACCGCAGATCTTTATGCAGAATAACATATTTGTGATATTAGTTTAATTGTCGTCTCTGTCCACTCTTGAACTGTTTTATGATCGGATCAAATCCGCGGTCTACTTGTTACAGTTTCGCGATTCGCATTCTTTCTGTTTTTGTACTCTGAACCATCGTCCTCGATTTACGTTTGTACATACGCATACTTTTAATCCCCGTTCCAACGGCACACCTTCGTCTGTGCAAGCGAACAGCCTTCTTTCATTGTACTAATCGCCAATCTGACTATCAACGCCGCTCGCCTCCCGCTTTACCCCCCTCTAAATTATTCGCACCATCTGTCCTCTCTACCTACTCCTCGCTCGGCTCAATAATTTACACGAAACTCGAACGAAAATGAACAAAATGCTTCACGTATACGTATTTGGCATTAACAACTGTATAAATAAGAAACGTATCAACGGATAATAACACACAACGAAATTAGGAAAATTGTACTACACGTTCGTGCAAATTGCACACGATATATATATATATATAATAATAATAATAATAATTGAATATATGTATATGTATAATTATAATTATAATTATAATTATATATGTACAATTGTAAAGAAATTGCGTCTGCCGGTTAGTACGTAGAATTAAATAAATATAATAAATAGCGCACATAGAAAAATTAAATAAATTAATATCACAAACATTATAAAAAGATGATTTCAATCAACGAAACTCGATCGTAACAGAGTTATATGGTACAATTGTGCATCCGACTTTGACCTGATCTATCAATTAAATATAATTCTATCCTGCTTTGAACAAACTGACGCGGACGCAGAAGTCATTACATCGTTCTATTCTTTCATTGGGGTCTTCGATTCGGATCCTCTCGCTATATCTTTTACAATACGTGTGTATGCGTGCTTACGTATGCGTAACTCACACTCTCTCTCTCTCTCTCTCTCTCTCTCTCTCGCATCAGTTAGGTTTTGTCAACGATAAGAAAAGAACAGTTCGAATAAAGTAAACACGTAAAGAATCTCGCATGAATTACATGTAGTACGAAATGTAAAGTTCATTCACGCAAGAGCTCGTCACGGTTCGCCTGTGACTTGAACAATCTCGAGAGAAATTAGAAATTCGTATGACCGACGACCCGTGTACAGCGCGTGTAGCACGATGAAAATGACTACAATTCGATGAATTAATTCGAATTTAAGAGATGCCCTGGCACATATATTTACGTAGATTACATTTATGGTTTCTCAAATGGTTTTTACTTTTTCCTATGCTGATTCGCGCTTACGATAACTCTCTTGTCTCCTCAACTAAATTCAACGTTAAACGCGATATTACTCTTTAGATTTACTGTTCACAACATTGTGGAAGCAAAGGGAACATATATTGCGTACACATTCTCGTGTGAATCTCGAGGTAATCGTACGGGTTGAAAGGATTCTCGGTTTCTATTAACCGAGAATGCACACAGCGCGCGCGCGGTATTGGTAACGTGATCGCCCGACAGCTCATCAATTTTCTCGGTTATAATTAGTACGATTATTATGACGAATAGTAATTATTCGAAACAGGAAGCGAAAAGAGTACTGTCGTCGACAACCGAAAGTCAGCCATCGCAATCAAATGATCTAATCGTATGGTTTCGGGCTGTTTTCTTCTTCAAATTTGCATGCATCAACGATCTACTTAGGTGTAAGCCTGAATGTAGGTACGTAGACTTATATATTAGACGCCACTGTGTGCCGATCCCGTGCTAGACACGCTTTCCTTTGAATTCCGTCCGTCTCGAACGTATTTTTCGGATCGAACTTTCCTCTCGCACTTTCCACTTTACACTTAACTTGGACAAATTGTTCTTCGCAATTAAAATTACTCGACGTAGACAATGACAAATGATAGACTCGAGTAGAGGACGTCTCGGTCCTCTCCTTGAGTAAGCTGTATAGAAAAAAGTAAACCAAGTCGCACGCGGAAAGACCTCTGTTCAAAAGTTAAACGAAAATAATTATACATATAATCCTCTGCTCAACTCTCTCTCTGTTTAAATATAGAATTTTAGAACCAACAAGGTATTCGACCCATCGTGAGTGTAACAATCAATTGGTAGCAACTGATCGGCTCGTTGTTACAAAGATATCGACAGCTAGACGTAGGAGATTAACAGCACAAGGGGCACAAGAAGACACTGGTACGAGGAGAAGAGATCTAATCTACGTGCCTCGCTCATCGGCATAGTTAGCGTGTCGTCGTTACCCATTTATATGTTAAACAAGATCGCGCCGCTTTCAACGGCGATCATCTGCGCGTGGAACGTCGCCCAAAGAGAATTTAAACGTAGGCAGGTGACAAGTTCAAGGTGAGCCGCGAGATCACGTTGTTGCGTATCGTGGCCCGTGTCGTTCTCGAACTCTTGATTATCTGTATCACCATGATGCGGCAATCGTGACAGACCACCATCGAGACGCCACGCAACCGTTCCGCGGCTAATCGTTGCTCGGCACTGTGAGCGAAACCGGAGAACGCCTTTGGCGATGGCACGTGCCCCGGACTGCCTCGGTAACTCCTGCACGATCAAATTTAATTAAAACAACGCCGCGGCCGCGTCACCTTTCGATCAGATTACCTTCTCTCTTGGTCTACGTCGCGGCGAGCATGAGAAGGTGGGGTGGAAGTCGGTGTGAGTATCAAAACAGGTGTCGTAGTAGGCGTCGATGAAGGCGTCACGCTTTTCAACGATGAGTCCTTGCGCCTGGAGGCGGGAGACGCCGGGGCAGATCCAGCTGCCCCGTTGCTGCCTCTCAGCCACGAACTCTTGCTGGTGTCCGGTTCCGAGGACGACGGTGAGAGAAGAAGACCGGGCGAGAGTAACACCACCGGAACATGGGCGAAATGTTCCGTTGGGATGCGCATCTAAAACGCGAACAACATTTCAGAGTGGAACACAATGCTGGAACAAGATCAATCGGCGGCTCGTGGAATCTTACTTTGGAGTAACACTTGACGCACACGGTCCTTTCGCATAAACGGCATCGTTGCCCCCACGGCCCCAAGATCCCGAACCTGGTCTTCAGGCAAAGGAAACAGACGCGTCTCTTCTCTACGTCCTCCTTAACGCGTCCCTCCACGGGTAGAGATTCCAGCTCGGCTTTGGTCAAAACGCTACGAATATGCACGATCTCCTCGAGAGTCAGGGAAAGCCTCTCGTCCAGGAACATGTCGCCCAACGTAGGTTTCTACACGGGCGGAAACAATTTTCATTTACCGTTCGACGACGTGTTTCTCTTCGTAATTTCGCAACACACGTATACCTGTCCTTTGTCATCCTGCCAGTCTTCGTTTTGATCCTCGACCTCGGGCTTCGTACCCTCGGCGATGGTTTGCGACCGTTTCGCCAGCCTCGCTCTTGGCTGCGGACTGAGACTCGGGCTAGGATTCACGCTGATATTGGGACTCGGGCCTTGACTCAGCATCGACTCCGTTGCGACGGCATGCTGACGGCTCTGGGGCCTCGAGTGGGGAAGCGAAGTGGTTCCCGTTAACGCGGTGAGCGCTATGCTACGTCGCGCCGCGTGTTTCCGGGCCGATGCTCTTCTCGACGGACACTGCGTCGCGAGATCGTACGCTGAAAGAGATCCGTTTTCGTTAATCATCGCTCGCAACGCGTCTCTCCGTCACGATCGATCAATGGAATTACATTCGAGCTGCGCGTCGCAAAATCGGTGATACTCGTTCCTCGTCAACCGTAGTCCGCCGGTTCTTCGCCAGGGATTCGCCGAGTCCGCTTCATCGTCGTCCCTGTGATCTTTACGCCCGCGAGAGCTACCTCGATCCACGAACGAGTAATCTTCTTTCAGATGCCAATAATTCGAAGCCTCGTCGTCTTCCTCGAATCTCGTCACGGCAAACTCGTCGTCGTCGTCTTCGTCTTCCGCGTCGAGCTGTTGGAACGATTCCGACGCGTTTCGTATATATCGTACACGCGCGACATTATACCGTACCTTTAGATCAAAGTCAACGGGAATGACTTTCCTCTTGCCGGTCGTAGGATTCGAGCCGTCCGGATCCCTCCGAGGAGGTTTAGGTACCGTAGACGCGTCATTGTCCTTGGCGTCGCCGCTACTCTGGACATGCTCTAAAAAGAGTTTCGGTCGTAGGAACACGGAGTGTAACTGTGAATCGTGAGATCGTGAAATGCATAGGGGCCGTGTACGTCGATGACCAATGACGCGTGGACGTGATCTGTTACAAATCTGTATCTGTGTGGTACCTCAGTAAATCGTAAATACGTACAACTGCCTCCTGCGCGTGACATCGAATTTGTCAGAGGTTTATGAAAAAGAGAAAAACAACTCGTAGGGTTTCATAAGGTGTATCATGATTGAATAAACGCTTACACGATTGAACGAGGCTCGATCAAATATGGAATATAAGTAATTAGATTGAGAATTCAGGAAACCGTTTCAGGTCGCGTCGATCGGTACACGGGATCACCCGTTCCGTCGACCCAATAAAGATGAATGGTATGATTACCTGCGACCGTAATGCGCCTTCTACGCGACTTACGATTCCTGACTCCCGGCACCCTGATCTCGGGCTTGCCGACTCTCTGCCTCGGTTGCGGAACCGGCGGCACGTTCGCCCGGATCCGACTCGCGGTAGTCGGCACGCCGCTGGTCGTGCTCGGCTGGACCGTGGTCCCGCTCGCCGCAGCCTTTGCCTGATTCTCTGTCTGCAACCACTGTGCCGCCACATCCTGCGCGGATTCCTGCTCCGGTTGCGACGGGGGAACTTCACCCAAGACTATCATGCGGGACTCACCGCCTACGGTAACATCATTCCCCCTCTCGACATTCATTCCTCCTCGTACCTTTATCACGCACAGTATGTCCGGTTCTTGGAATATCTCATTTCATTTCGCAGCTATGTCAAACGTTTCTAACGAATATTTAACATCACGCGTTTCCTTATACCATCGTCATGGTACACGGTGAACCATTTCAAATCAAACCGAACATATTGTCGACGAAATTTTAGAGCGGCTCTCTACTTGCGACAACCACGACGTCCAACCGGAAGTCACTCTGCTCCTTTCAATATCCCCGGGGCTCGGTCTCACGATCTCACAGCCTGCGAATCAGGAGACGTATCAAACGTTTACACGTTCCGACAAACGAGCCAGTCCATTTTTAATCCTCTTTACCAGCATCTCAGGTTCATCTGCTCCCTTTCTCCATCCCGTTGGATCCTTGGCCCACGGTGATTTGGCTCTCGCAGGGACTGTGTACCAAGCACACGTGCTCGTTAGTGCGCTATCCTCCTCTCGGTGCGATCGCCACGATAGCTCGTATACGAGTTTGGACGCGGCTCGACCTGGTCGTTTCGTGCCCTCAAACTACAGCTTCCCTCGCGGAGCGAGAGTAAAGATGGGAGAGAGAAAGAGAGAGAGAGAGAGACCGGACCGAAACGAACCCGAAACGGATGGTAGAAGTGCGGACACGCGAGAGATCAAGCGACGGGCGCGGAACGATGACGTTTCGGCCGACGTCAGCCTCTCGCCCTTTCCGCGCTTTCGGTTATTGATCGCGAGCGGTCTGAGGCTTGGTTCGCTTTAACCCAGCCCGACCATCGCGAACCATGATTCACACGGACCAACAGCCGCCCGCCCCTCGACGAGAAAACTTAGTCACGGCTACACCCTCCAATCAAAACGGGGTAATTAACGTTTTATCATCGCACCAGGAACATAAAAATTCTAAACCGATTGGGCCATTGGAAACCTTTTTTTTAATTTACGTTCTTCAATAACGCCAATATTTCATGGACATCGAATCGATGATTATTATTATTATTATTATTATTATTATTATTATTATTATTATTATTATTATTATTATTACTACTAGTATTATTATTTAGTAGTACCAGTAGTATTATTAGTGAGGAAACGAATACACGCATACCACTGGTCGCATCCGGTCGCACTGCGTTGCAGCGGCCAAGCTCTATCACACTCTCTCTCCCCCGAGAGGGAGAAAGAGAGAGAGAGTGTAGGGAAGGAGATAAGCGACGAGTGTGTAGACACTGCGCGCGCGTTCGGCCCCTCGCGCATTCAGATGAGATATATTCTTGGAAAAAATGTATTCGCACGTGCGAGCCCTGTGGTCGTGTACGGACAGGATCCGCAAAGTTGAAAGTACACGGGGAGAGGGGCGGTTGGGGGCGCATACGATGCCACTCGGTTAAAACGTTTCGTCTCATGCAAAACATCTAAAGAAACTGCAGACGTACGTTTATATTTTTCTTTTATGAACAGAACGATTTATTGAGGTACCACATAACGGAATGATGCGCGTTGGTGCATATGTCTAAATTATGTAGGAACTGAATGCTGAAACGTTTGTCTTCATGGCTTTATTGAACACTCGTACACGAACGGAGAAGACATATAATTCATGAAGCAGCACGGCATGCAAAAATTTATCTTTCTCGATGTAAACGCATACTGGAACTTACCACTTTGAGGCGACGTCCTCTCGATTTTGGGTACGTATCTGTTCCGCGAGGACCGCAGATTAGGCGGTTTCTTTATGCTCTCCATGAGCAATTCCCGGAGCGTCCATTCCTTTTGTAGCGGCGGTAACTGCCTCTCAGAAGCCTGAATCAATCAACACCTCTGACGTCTATTCATCATTTTCTCACACACCGTGTATTCGAATAAAAGATGTTCCTGTTTGTCGAACCTTCTTTAGAGGAGGCCTGCTCCGAATAAATTCGAGGATAACGGCGTGCGCGTCTTTCCTTAAATGCGGCTTCGGCGAGGGCGTCTTCCTCAAGTTCCACCTCCTCTCTCGAATATCGTTCATCAAAATTTCATACGGCGTCAACTCGAACTCTGCCCCCTTCCCGCGCCCACGGCTCGTGCTCTTCGTCCCCAAATTGGCTTCTACTTTCTTCAGTTTCACGCCCTTCCTTAGCTCTTGGATAACTTGTACCCAAAACCTTGCCTACCGGAACAGTACTTTCGATCTCATAAAATGCAAATGCAACTGAATACGTACGTGTATACAATTTCTACACGTCTCACTAAGCTACTTCTCATTTCTTGAAGTCACACATAAATTCATTTAAATCCAGCTATTATTAAAAATTGTTTTCCGTACTTAAACCGAAATAAAGCAAGCGCATGCATTCGAAACGAAGCAAGTGTCGAAGTTCACGAGCAGTGCGAATCGACGAGATGAGAAGGCGATCCATGCTGCACGCCCGACACCATTGCGTCTAAGCTATGTCACGTATACACACGCAATCATTATTAACGACGACATACTTGTATAGCCCTCCAAATCCTAATGTCGGTCTATAACGGTAGAGAGAGACAGAGAGTCAAGTCAATAAATCTGAAATATTTTATCTCTGCAAAACGACAAGACAGAGTTTATGCGACACGGCCGAGTTAACCGTTCCATTTCGTCGTCGTATCGTAGTTCGACCCGAGGACAATGGAAACGAGTCAGGACGATACCCTTCTCGCACGAGTGAAACGTTTAAGAAAGCTGATCGTCGATTCGTACCCAATCAATGAAATCCAACGTGTCGAGGTTCTGGACGGACATCGAGGTCTGTTTGTTGCCGTCGACGGTGTCCCTTTGACTAGCTCGTAATTTGTCGGCCGCGACAGTGTCCAGGAACTGGGACAATTCCAGAGCCTCTGTCACGAATGCTCGCATCACAGCCTTGTAATGAGCCTCCGCAGACTCGACCGAAGTCTGCACGTGCCTGGTACATAACTGTAAATGCGTAGATAAATTATTGACGAACGGCGAGAACGAAGACGTACGAGTCGAACTTGCCTGCATCACATTTTTCAAAGAATACCCAGTCGGCCTCTCATCGTAATCGTTACTTCTCTGTGACGAAAATTCGTCTACGTCGGCATCGCTGGAGTCCCGCTCGATGCCTTCGTCGTCCGTTTCCTGCGGACGTTCGTCTGTCTCTCCGTCGACGTCTGCAACGGACAAAAACGAAATTGATTAACACCGGGCTCGTATCTGCGATCTATTCGCTAACGTAACGAAACACGAACGTTACCTTGATCGCTGGTCATTAATTTGATGAGGCCTTCCAGATCCGGCGACAAAGGCCTCTCCTCTTGTTCGTCTAGGCCGAAATCGAGCGCGTTGAACACCATCACGCCTAACGAGAATATAGCCTACGAAACAGAAGCGACACGTCCCCCTCTTTATTTTTTTTTTATCTTTTTCACGATCATTTCTATGCAGATCGATTGCTCACCTTCTTCTCGGACACACGGGGTTTCCGCGATTCTGTAAGGAGAGCCAGCGATAGGATTACGGAAGAAGAGAGATCGATACGAGATACGTTCGACGACGAGGAAAAGATACGATATCTCAGAGTGATAAACTGCTGGTCTTACCGATTAGATCGCCGAGCCAAACATCGCCGTCCTTGTGAAGGACGATCTCCGACAAGTCCGACAGCTCATAAAATTCGTTATTGGGCAAACGTGACAAACCCTTTGCCGTTTGATAACACACAGCCCATGCCTGTTCCTGACTGACCGGTCCGTTGAACGACAGCAAAATATCCTTCAGATTCAGCCGGCCGTTCGCGTCCAGCTTACATCGTGGCCTTTTCGTCGACGATCTATCCTCTTTATTCCTCGCCGTTCGTTTCTCATCGTCAGAGACGTCCGGACCGTCCTCGCACGACGTCGACTTTCTCTTGTGCGTGCTCATTTCTTCTGCAACACCCGTTTCGATTCATTAAGAATTTTCATTGTATGGCACGATACGCTGCGTAGTAAAAATAATATGCGACCGAAAACATAAAACGATTCTCGCCGCTTCCAGCCGTTCGCCAACAGTTATGATCACGCACGTAAAAATGTGAAGCGATAACGAAATCTACGTAAGAGGATGATCGGACCGCGACAAGACTATGAATTAAAGAGAATGAGCTCGTGGAAAACGAACGAACGAATGAATGACGGAAAGAAATTTGTAGTCAGACTTACGCGATGGAAGCGGGACGAGAAGGAACCGGATACGTATTTCTAATTAGACGAAAACGAGCCGACTGAGGCACTGTCCATTGCGCCGCGTATTACCATCGTCTGTCGTCACGCGTGCAACCACGACGATACGCGTGGTGATTACATGTACGCCCCTTTCACCGTGTAGGAACGATTCCGTGAAAAAAATTTGTCCTCCAGGGAACGAATTCGAGCCGACACGGACAATTTCAGATAGCTTTCCTCTATCTAATCTGACGCGACGTACGGACACACAATCTCTCGACGTCTCCGTTTGTTTTGCTCATTGTTCAAACAAGTTTTTCCGGCCTACGAACAGATCGTCTGCAGTTCATCAGGAATTGATTCTCGTGCAACAGCCTACGTTGTCATCGCGCTTTCTCATCGCATTTGATTCGTAATTGAATGAAATTTATTTCACAAACCTATGGATTACCGACATCTTCTCAAAGCAAACGTTTGTCTCGTGTAGCATGAATGAAATTGCAACGAGACGTGTGAAAAAATGGTGCGCATACACATTTTTTCGAATTTCTTTCTACGATGCTTGACCACACAGAGGAGCGTGGTCTAAGCCTTTCATAAAAATTTTATACAAACGCTACGATCGATAAAAGAAAAGTTCCATGGTTCAAGGTTGAAAGTTCGCATTTTTAAACAGATCCAATGAGAGAATTTATATTGAAAGAAAGTGAGCGCGAACGAACGCATCGAGTGTAGACACATCGACTAGTTTCATTGATCGAAACGACTAAACATCGACAACCCCCGACGAACCGATGGACGGATGCGAATCATGAAACTTGACAGACAAAATATAGTAGGTACTGTATTTGTTTGTTCAAGCTGTAACGTAAGTTTCATGCAGCTGATCAGTGATTTTTGCTCATTTTTGCTGGCGAACTCGCATTGCACCACTGACGTACATCAACAGAAAGCGGCACACGGGTTTTGGATACCTACGATCGACAGTGAATGCAAAACGATTTGCAAAATCGTAAAAACAAGATACGTACTTTCACGGTTATTTAAGAGATTGACATCCAAGTTATGGCACAAAACGTTCAGGTATCTTCACTACATCACTGCCTGTTCATCGTTTCTACGACGTTTTTCGTTTCACTTTCCCGTTCAAGCGAAATAAATGATAATTGTCCCGTGCACGAGCTATCTATCGCATCGAACTGTACTTAGTCCTCTCGCTTTCTTCTCGCGTCGATCATTATTAATTTCCCTCATTGACAATCGAGGCTCGACACCACACTGTTTATCATCGTCGATTTCCAAGTGTACGTGTCCTTGAACATTGTGGAATTAAGGAAAACATTTGGTACACACATGTACTACATATATCTGCTGCACGTATCCCGATTCGTACATCCTCGATTCGATGGCGAGGTAACACAGCCGGCACTTCCTAAATTCCGTACGATTTTCAGTGATTTTCAGCTTGACAACAAAGCCGTGACATACACTCGCGATTAACTTGATCGAAACAACGTTAATAGGGCTCGAATTCATGAGAACGACATTGAAAAGCAGCGATCATCAATCGTTAAATACAAAGTATACGACACGGGCTGGAAAGTATATACGGTATATACTGAACGTTACCGCCCGCCGCTACCGTGCAATCCGCAACCGCAACCGCAACCGCAACGTAACCCATACGCATGCATACATCAGAGCATACGCATTCGCACGTTCCGAAACCTGAGTTTCACTGTTCCTCAACGCACGGCGCTACGATCGAAATTTCTGAGATCGTACATACTAGTGGACCGAACATGACCGTGTGAGAGACGCTGATTGGTCTGGAAGTTTCAGGTATAGTGTGAATCACACTTTGGGCTTGGAAGTCGAAATTTCTGATGCAACATGCAACATTCGTTAACAAGACGTGAATGGCGTGAATGCACTGTACATACAGGTACAAACGATAGGTTCGATCAGGTTTGATACCCGCGTGATCAAGGTGTTCGGCTGTATTTAAGGGAATCAAGGAAATTAACAAGGAGGATACCAATTGGTCTAGAACGATATTCAAAATGACTGAGGAAGACTCGGTACGTAATGATATTTTTCGTTTATCTTTACCAAGGAATTTGTATCGGGAGAAAGCATGGGAGCATGATCGTCTTGACATACTTCGCCAGCCTTTAAAGACACGTCGATGATTGCGACCGAAGAAACATCCTTCTCACCTCTGTCGAGACAATGTCCCGTAACGAGGAGAATCTCTCTGCGAAATAAACGCGATAACGCTTTACAAATTCCAACCTCAATGCCATGTGGAATACTGATAGAAAAAAATTTGTACCTCCCCTTCAGCAAGTGCGCCGTTATAACGCCGCGCCGCCTGATTCAACCAACTGATCAAAAACATATCGTAGGTGTTCGATCCGACGTTAAAGAAGAAGAAAAAGAAGAAGAAGACCACTTTCGATCTTGATGCTGCGTTTAACGAAGGTGGCAATGCCGGTGATTCGATGGAGGCGACCGGTGACAAGGAAAATCAGGAGCCGGAGCCTCCTGCACCGGCCGACGACGACGAAACATTGGATTTAGAGAACTTTGGTAGAAAGAAAAAAAAGAAGAAAAAAGCATTTAATCTGGATGAGCTCGACGCTGCTTTACCCGATACGAAGAAAGAGGTAGATATCTACTACGAGCCAGTCCTATTCGAAGCTTACATACTCACGACTGCCCGTGCAATTTTTTGAAAGGACGTCATCGAGCAACAAATGGAAGAGATCGCCGTGGACGATACCTTCGACTTAGACATGGACTTCTCAAAAACTAAGAAGAAGAAAAAGAAGAAGAAAGACCTCGATGAGCTGGTGGCCGAGGAAGAGCGTAAAGAAATCGAAGACAAAGAAAATGGTAAGTGTCACATGCTACGAGCGTAACGCCGATCCGGGTAACTAGTTGTTTATGTTATTCATTATTTGTTAACATGCTGCACTGAATCTGAGCGAAGTGCAGAGTACGGTAAGGGATACGTATGCTGTTCACTATATGTATTTATCGCGAGTACACGTGTCGTTCGTGCACTTTCGAGCTGTTCCACTCGTATTTTCTTAACGACAGCCTTCAGGGTCACCGATCTTGGACACACGACGTGTCAAGTATTAACGTTTGATCTTTGTTAACACAGAGGACACGAGTTTATGGGTCGGATCGGACAGAGATTACACGTACGACGAATTACTGGTAAGGGTGTTCAACATCATGAGGGAAAAGAATCCCGATATGGTCGCTGGTAAGAAACAGAAGTTCGTCATGCGTCCCCCTCAAGTAGTGCGTATAGGCACCAAGAAAACATCGTTCGCCAATTTCACCGAGGTGAGTAAAACACGAGAGCTCGTCTTCTATTCTGAATCGCAAGTATTTCAATCATCATTGTTACGATTACAGATATGTAAAACACTCCATAGGCAACCGAAACATTTACTCGACTTTTTGCTCGCTGAGTTAGGAACTAGCGGCTCTGTCGACGGAAATAGTCAGCTTATAATTAAGGGCCGTTTCCAGCAGAAACAAATAGAAAATGTTCTTAGGAGATACATTAAGGAATATGTTACCTGCCACACTTGTCGTTCTCCGGACACTATACTTCAAAAGGATACTCGATTATTTTTCTTACAGTGCGAGACCTGTGGCTCAAGATGTTCGGTAGCTAGCATAAAATCTGGCTTCCAGGTAATTATTTCAATCCCATTCACGATCCGTGTAACACCGATGTTGTTCCATTAACGACCGATCTTTTTCGTTTACAGGCCGTTACAGGAAAGCGTGCTGCTATTCGAGCAAAAACTGCCTAAAACATTTGTCACGTGTCATGTTTATCAATCAATTTTGTAGCATAATTTTGAAATTATCAGAGATTTCTTGTGTCAGATCGCAATTTTTACTATACCTATTATAACGGCGTGCAATCCGAGCATTCATTTTTTCACTCGTGCTGTCGGTCTCTGGAATAGATCGTAAAATTTACAAAAACAGGATGACACGTTCCACGTTGATCGGAGCGAAACGCGTGGAGAAAAATTTATAGATGGAATCGACCGAACGTTTCCTCGCATCACCCACCCATTTTTTTTTTTTTTTTTTTTTCTTATATTTTTTTTATTCACTCGAATCGCCCGTGTTGATTTTTAAATTTTTAATGTACCGTTTGCTCGTGTAACGGATGGACGCAACGGTGCAATTATATAACAGAATTTTAATTTCCCTTATATGCATTCCCGTTCGTCGTCTCGCGATGCAACGGGCGATGCGCGTCGGACATTTTCCGAGAACTACGTTATTGAAATTGTACACACGAATCGAACAGAGAAGAACGAAGAAGAGTCACGCGATAAATAATTATCCATTTGTCCGTAATCGTGACATAAATCCTGTATAAAGTCGATTAAGTGTAATATTACCAGTTATCGACGATAGACTTTAACGAGCTGGTAACGATTTGTTATATATCACTTTCTGTATACAAAAACAAATTGTAACATTAAATTCAAGTATATTATTACGCGCATGGTCGAAAGTATTATTCCTGTAATTATCTACTCGCGCGGTTCAAATGCGATTTCCTTTTTCAAGTGATCGATGGTCACGTTTCTTAGCTAATTTATTCAATTGTATTTATTAGCCAATAAACCTGTCTTAAGGAACTATTAACATTCTCCTTAGAAATTTCGTCGCTGTGAACAGAGTCAAGCATATTTGTGTACATGTCGAGTACAGTTTCTCGCTTGACGAGAAACGAGCCGAGGGCATATTATATGTACGGTTTGTGAGAGAACATGCAGCTCGAACGGTCATACTATGAGCGATCGACTCTGGAGATTCTTATATTTCAATGCTACTTGTGTACGCGCTGAACGTGCACACGTAATTAAAAATATCGTGATTCCTTTTGGCCGAAGGAAAATGTTCTGCCACCAAGATTTACTCTCTCGTCGAGTTGGACTTATTTTTAATTTCAGTTATCTTGTCCCTCATGTAAATTGCCATGTCTACGAAGCTTTGAAACAGAAATTTCTCCATGTTCGGCATTGGAAAATCTACAAATGGAACCCAGACTCGCGAGCCATCTTCTAATTCGTTCAAACACACTGGCTGTGAGAACACTATTCCCTCCGGTATGCCGAAAGAGCCTGAGGAAGCGACGAAGATCTGTCGTTTTACTCGTTTCATCGTTCCGATCGGGTGTAAAACATCGTTAATTACCGTCGGACGCGATTCCTAACGATATAATTTCGTCGCCCACAGTTTTACTGAACCATAATCTCAAAAGGTCGCAAATCGCTTTACATTTGGGAAAATCTTCCGACCTGCCTACTTGATACCGTAAGAGAGCCTGTATAAGTAGTCGCCGGAAAAGTGGTTACGGTGGAGATGCTCAACGACGATCGGTATTGTAATTAAATATGCATGTACCTTGCGCCTGAAATAATTTACATAAGGATTTTTGTCGTGCACCATGTAGAAAAACCATCTTAATTCCGTATGCTGAGTTCCCAGAGGTAGTACGACCTTCTCGTTTGCCCTCAGAGCCCTTTTATTCGGACGATACACGTAGCATTTTTGAACCATGTGCGAAACATCGACGAAGTGATTTATTCCTGAAGTTTACTCGATTATTCACGAAGAAATTGCAGTCCGTTGTTATTGCATCGTCTCGTCAACGAACCGAGGAAGCCCCAAACGGGTGGACAACCGAACTGTCTCAGAGTAAAACCCATCGAATGTACGAGCTCGTATATGATCTCTAAACCGTGATGATTGCTGGCGACTATCACATTCGTTTTTGGTAGTTTCGTGACGAGTTCGTGCATAATGCCGGCATAGAAACAAGGGAGGCTCATCGAACAAAATATTACTTTCATGTGCGAGGGTGCACACTCGTTCACGTGGTTGCACACGTTTTCGATGATCTTGTAATTGCGCTCGAACCAAGCATCGTTCCCTTCGTTATCTTCCCTGAAAAACAAATAATGTTCGTAAAGACGACGATGTACTTAATTGAACCGCCGATCTTAATTACGCTTCTTTGAACATCGTATGAACGCGTATAAAAGTCGCGGTTCAATGATCCCGATACCTCGAATAACTGTCGAGGTAGATCAACACGTCGCAGTTCTCCAATCCCTCGGGAATACTGTCAACGATGAATACTCTACGAATACCGGCACCTATCGTGCCTGAGTCTCTCAAGATCCTCCTCAGTTTGAAGTAGCATCCGGGTTCGTCGTACAAATTAATAATGATCCCGTGAGACGACCATAACTCCTTGGTCATTAAAAGTTGGGGGACAAGGTCCAGACACATCGACCTACCTGCCCCTATTATCGTTATTCGATTATACTTTTCTTGCACTTGCGAAGCTCTCGCCTTCATCTTTTTCACTTTGTAAGCCTTCGTAAAACGAAATTGCTGAGTACTGCGAACGAACGAACGAACGAACGGGCATCGAAAAATCAAATTGAGAAGATTTACATGCAACAGATCTTCGTGTAAATCTTCGAGATCCTCTTCGCTCAAGTAAGACGTGACATCATAATAATTCTTCAAAAGTTTCCAAAACTGATAAGCACCTCCCACGTAATCTATGCGAGTTCGAGTAATCCCGATTTCCTTCCATACCAAAGGCGACTTGTTGTGAGTCCATCCGTAATGCTTGCAAGTTTCTTTCAGCCAATACTATATAGGACGAGTTTTGGATATAATCGTTCGCAAGAGAAACATACGACACGAATCCACTTACGTCCCATTTCTCGTTACATTTGCTTATGTTTCTATATTGGAAATTCGGTAGTAGAGTGGACAAACTTTCGGCGATGTAACACATGCGATTAAAAGTATGATCCTTTATATCACCAGCTATTACGATCAAACATCTGTCCGACGTCATTTTCATAAATAACAATTTGCCAATACGATCGTCAATTAGATGCATCGACAGATGTAGAGGGGAAAATGCGTACACGGCTCGCACGAATATCATTTATTAGAAAAAATAATTTATTTACGTGTAGGAATAAACATGATGTGAAAGCTACTTTATCAAGTTACTTATACATTGGTACAAATTTTAATTATTTTCGCGTACAAATTCTTAATGAAAAACTTATGATCCATCGTAAACTAACTTCCATGGATTCTAGTTATTAATCTGATATCGCTGGCAGATCAACGGTTTCCTCTACCCTGTAATTGTCAATGATCTTTGGACTAGTATTGAATTCTGGTACTTTAACATTGATTCGTTCACGATCTAAATAAATAGTTCAATCATCAGGAACTCGTTTCAACTGATATAACGGAGAATCACATTTAAATTTTAATACCTAATGCAAATCCTTTGTCTTCACAAACCACTACCCTGTTCCTCTTTCTCATAAACAATTCCCTGAACTCGTTCTCCAACGGTTTCGTGTAAATGTCATCTGCGAATATATATATATATATGTATATGTAACTTCACTATTTTCTTAGTAGATAGAAAGTGATTTCCCATTATAAATTTCATACCCAATTCAAATTGCATATCATAATATGGTGCTAAGATCTCTGGTTCTCGATACGATTTTCTAACATGATTTTTTGGAGTACATGGTCTCTTGAAAACGTGGTGTTTATCCGACGACGTTGGCAATTTCATATCCTTCTTAAGTGATAATTTCGGTGATGCATCTTTTGCTTTGACAGATTCTTTCTGTAAACGTAAGAAAGTGCCAGATCCTGTCATTTGAAACAGACGTGTTCAACAATTTATACCTTTAGTAAAGGATGCTTCGTAGGTGATATCGCTCGATCATCTTTGTCTATCTGCGTTAATTTTAATTTCGTCGATTCCTGTTGTTTAGCAGCCTCTTGTTTATTGGGGGTAGCAGGTACATTTAAAACTGAGTTTGATCTGATCGACAATCCCTTTGGCCTCGACTGACCAACATTTTTCAAATAGCCACCGTTTGTGCCGAGTACTGTCTTGGATCTTGACAAAGGCTTTGCAACCGAATCTGTTCTCGGATAAACGCGTGTCAAATAATTGAAATGTCAATTCGACATTCGATTCGAAGGAAAAGCATACAGCAATAGTCTAGATCTAGCGAGGAAATTTTATTACCTCTAACGTGTTCCGACGTATCCCCAAATAAATTGAAAATTCCAGCCATTTCTGAAGACTTTTAACAAGACTGATCTCAAAATACGACGCAGCAAATACACTTCTGTCAAGTGATCGACAAATATTATTAATTATTAAACAATTTGCTTTCGAATTTTCTCTCGAGAAATTAGTTGTCTCCTCTCACGACCGCAGCAACAGCAACAGTCACGTCACGACTCCCTCTATCGGGACATGGATATGCGGATACCTATACATACAGTAGTATACAGTACCGCTGTCCCTTACTTTCATATTTTACTCTCTTATTAACGATAGGTGAAAGAAGTTTAGACAACAAGTTTGCTTAATTATAGTATAATTTATTCAGACAAACAATTGTCCATAGCAAATATTTCGTTAGGATAAATTACATTGATCATATATATATATATAATATATATTTTTTACACGTATAATGACTTATCGTTTCTTAAGGCCTCTAAAATATATAAACAACCAAAAGCTACCAACTGGTCACAGTGGAATGCTTTGATTACCGAGAATTGATATATAATAAATCGATGATAAATGTATATACAGTTATTTACTATACAAATGTACCAGCGAGAGAATCAGAAGCTTGAAATAAAAAATGCGACGAGCCGACATTGCACAACGAAGGAACATCGTTTGACATTCCATATCTGTAAATAAAATTGTAAACGCGATCATCTTTCGCCGGTACAGTTGCGATTGAGTAAAATATTTATAAATGCTGAATTTCCTTTGTAAATAATTCGAGTTGTAGCAAAAAGAGGAAGATCGGAGATTTTAGTTCAGCTTCGTGTCAGTATCATCGACGCCTACACGTTTTTACAATATGTAATAGTACACAGTCTGTTGATCTCGTTTTTTTTTTTTTTATACCAATAGTTTGTAGACGGCTTCTCGTCATATTAACAGTAACAGTAACATCGTCGCAACTCCTCCACGTTGCTCATCCTTAAGCCATTCTAATACTTTGAATTATTTGAAACACAGCTGAAAGTATAAAGAATTTCTCGTAAAGTGACTTTCTCGAAGGCCCGTGGATAATTTAAAAATTGGACGTGACTCACCGGAACCACAGACGACGAAGAGGAAGAGTGCCAGCAGGCAAGGACCTACCGGAGATCCTTCGTCTTGTGGTTTCTACGATACACAAATTAGAATGTCGTTAAGTACGTGTCAGCGAGACGAGAGAATCGTTGAGACGAACGTATTCCTACAGAATTCCATTAACGAAACGCGAACAACTGTTATCGAGGGCCTTGCACATGTTTGTCGACGCATATGGTAGGATCACTGACAGAACGTCCTATCATTCTCGTTAACGTAGAAAACTCGAGGCTCGCGATTCCACGAAATTCGCTGACGTTCGTTAATTTTTATCTCATGAAAATTGTGCGAGCCTGACAGACTCGAAATTCAACGTGCTCGTAACGGTTTATAACCTGGTAGCTGCGAGCCGATGATCGTTAATCTCTACAGGACTGACAGACTTCAAATATCTCGCGTCGTCGACGAACGATCAGGACATGCTTTATCAGATAATAATATGTGCAACGTACCGACGACTTCGGAACATTTCCACGAAGCGTAATGTTTTTCGTGGCCTTTTCGTTGGCGATACGCATCCTCTGTTTCGGTGCCATCTCTCTGATTTCCCGTTTGCCAAAGGTGCCTCGGGAAAATTTCAGTTTCAAATAACTCGGAACACCGTTCCACTCGCGTTGTGTACGTTCGTTCACCACGACGTACCAAGATCTCCGACCGACAAACAGGTGTGAATCGTACTACACTTGTACGCTACGCTCCGTTCTGTTCTCGAGGAGGTATATATAAGTACGTAGACGGTCGACGTGTGCGCTTTGACACGTGAATACTTCGGTGTGTATACGACGACGGAGCAGTTTTCAGTGCCACACTGGCACCACTCTCGTCAATTCATCGGTTACAGTTTGAAAATTTATAAAAATTTAGATTCCAAACTCGTTCTCTTATATTTTTTAATTCATAACACTTTCCATTTGATCATCGATCGACCGAGATCGACCTCTTCTCCGATCCGACTAAAGATCCTGATAAGATTCCGCATTCTTTTCGATTATCGTAGTACCTATTATTTCGAATACCGCGACCGCCTGTGTGCGACGGTGCGATACCGATACTGAATCATCAAATCACCAATAAATCATTATGTATGTACAGAGACTGTACGTAAAATAGCAGGGCCAGAGGTGAGAGTACTGGTACGTACATACAGTACGTAGTACTAGTAACAGTGACTAGTGGCGATGGTAACGATAATGATCGGTCCACGAATCAAGTATATGTACAATTGTATTTTTATTGTATGTAGAAATTTTATATTTCTTAGAACTGCTATGTCTAACAACAAACCGTGTGTCCATATTCGTGTTTTCATTGATATTTTTGTTCGACGATGCATCGCGTTAGGATAAACTCGTTCACGACGATCAGTACGACGTCCCCTCACGTGTTCCTTACAACGTTAGCACCGATCAGACGTATAAATGGGTACATTAGCCAGGCGCGCAGGGGACCACGGAATTAAAAAGAGGATTTACTTTACCACCGGTTACAGGCTAACGATATTTTACATTTGTTACCAATGCACTTACAGCTTACAGAAACGAGTATCCACGTCAAATAACTGTCTCGTTGCTCGTGATGCGTAGTCAACGATGAAAAAGATGTCTTATTATTCACATTCTTACTCCGATCTAGCTTCCTAGCTTTTATCTCTTAAGATTTATCTTACTCAATTCGCCTCGCCGTTAACCAAGCGCTTATACGACTAAAGTTTCGATTTCATACTCACGCGCGATTTTAAGCACTGTGTACTTAACATTATCGTCAACTGAAATACCTATTTTACGAATAAACTGCATCGAAAATCTTTACTGTACAATTTGTACGTGTATACATAATATTTTCTCTTTCGGTTTCCTCGGTTTCGCGATACACCGATACTTGGTTTCAACGATTTACGATTCGATGGAAATGTTTCCAGTAAAACATTTTCGAGGGCTAAGGAAGGTAATTTTGGTAACGGAGGTACGGTGGTCGTACGCTGTCTCAACGGTACGGTAGTCCGTTTTAATTTACTGGCGGAGTGTCATACAATGCTATCCACTGTGCGATTCGTCGTGGAGCGGACGATACGTGCGACCGTTTGAACCGCCGGCCGGTGTTCGCGTTGTCCGTCGTCCACTTCCGATCGAACGAATAGATTAAGGATCGAGATGAAGATATTGTTGCGACGTTAGATAGACGTTCGAGCGTTAGACAAGGAATCGAATGTAACGCGATTCCAGGTGGTAGTTACCGATATACCATTTCCACGATCGCGTTTAATGCGATCGTCACTCGTCGAGTAATGGGAATAATTTAAACGGTCAAAAGAAAGTAGAGTCCTACTCTACGGAGACCAGCAGAATTCGCTCTGCGAGCCTTTCGTCTGATCCACGTTCGATCGTAGACGTTACACCAGACTTGTGCCTTAGTCTATTTTAACCGTGGAATAGATCTTCCTTACAAATGCGTTAGTGCCGACGTAGCCGACCGTGCCGCACATTATGCCCAATGCGAGGCTGAACAGCGCCATGTAACCGAAGTAAAACGCCGTTTGGAAGAGACCGTACATTCTGAAACGACAAAAGATATACAGTCGCATCCTGAAACGAATTCAAACTAGCACGATGTGTACTCACTTGGTTTTAAAGAAGAAATAATAGAAGGAGTATACGTAGACGTAACCAGCGGTGGAAGCTGCTGCTAAGAAACTTGTCCACTGCCTAGAAAAAGAAAATAGAACGAACATCACCAATGAAAAGGTACTAACTAAAGGTAATAACTCTACGCTAAGCTGGTCGCGTAGGCTCTGTCCGTCCGGCCTACTCACCATCGATAATCCTCAGCGTTCAGCAGGAAATATGTACAGACAATAGTGACGCAGACGGTCACTATCATTAGAATAACGAATACTAGTAACATAAACCCGTACACGTAGTAGATTTTGTACGCCCAGAACGATGTGAAAATGAAGTACCTGAAATAAAAAGATGTACGATTGTACACGCTAGGTAAGTAGTGTCGAAATTTAAAAAAAGGAAGACGGCGAACGATGCAGGGTCGCTCACATTTCAATGAATATCGATCCAAATGGCAGGATGCCTCCGAGCATTATGATCACCAACGGTTCCATGAACCATTTCTTTTCGGGAATAGGTCGAGGTACCGCGTTGACTCTGCACGGTGCGTCCGGTGTTCCGGCTAGATTGCGGCCTAGGATGGTTCCAACCAACGTCAATGGCAATATAACGAATATGCAAATGCACGTGACAGCTACCTGTGAACAAAACGGTTCGTTGCAGCGAAACGCCGAGCCGAACGTATTTGCCATTTGCACGACGGGTCGAACGGAAATGAAAATTTACCATCGAACCGAACGGGATGGCGCGGCTGGCGTGGTAGTACATCGCGATAAAATTAATGAAGAATGCCGTTCCACAGACGATAAAAGGTAACATGAAGGCACTGAGGATCATCTGCTTGATCCAAATACGACCTCCCATACGCGCGTACAAACCTCCTCCGGCATAACCGTTTATAGGCGACGTGGCGGCGTATACGAAAATCGCTGTCGACAGCATCGACCCTCTCTCCGTATACAACTCGCCGAGGATAGCGAAAATGATAACGCTCAGCACGACCACCGTCACCTGTGCGGCAAACCATTTCACATTTTTAACACGAATCTCAGCGACAAAGCGACGGTTCTGCGAACGTTATTTAATAATCACTTGATAGCCGGCGCCTATAAGGGCGGAAAAGAGCATCGCATGGCTGGCGGGTCTGAACACGTCGCCGTGGACCTGTTTCCATCCGTACTCGTCGCCCAAATCTCGTTCCATATCGTCCATTTCTTCGTCCCTACTGTACCTAGCGTAATCCTTCTTCAGTGTGCGCATCAAAATCATGGAGACGAGGCCAACGAGAAAGATCACCATCATGAAACTGTTGAAAATGCTAAACCAATGGATCTGGAACACAGAAATTAAATTTAGATCGTGGCAGTTCACGTTAATCACAACAAATCTACACTCACTCTGTGCTGGAAGAAATTCGGATCCAAATATTTGTCGAATCTGTCTTCGTATTTAACATTGCTCTTCTTCCAGTTGACTTCGTAACTGAACGAGATGGCTGCGCCTTGCACCAACTTCACTTTGTTCTCACTGGTCAAGTTCACGTCGACTATTTGCTTCCCATTGTACCCTATGTCGAACTTCTTATGCGTCCAAATATAGTAAGACACGACACCATTGTTTTCTTCGGGCTCTCCCACGACACCTACGCAACGTGGACGATTAATAACGCGATGCACGATACGAACGTGTGTCATCGTGCAGGATTATGAATCGAGCAGAAACGTCGATCTTACCCCATATTGGTAAATCGTCCATGTACATTTTGTACCAATACTGATTCTTTACTGCATATACAAAGGCTTTCTCGCTTTCTTCGGCCAGTTTTATTTGACAGTATTCCGTCTTGATAACATCGGCTGTAAACAAAGATCAATATTTACATACGGATTACGACGCTCGATACTGTTTTTAACCATATTAAAAGATACCCTTGAATTCGATCTCCAGGCCACTAAATTTGAGTTCGATGCCTTGCAGTGCTTCTGAGAACGTTTCATGATAATGATTAATGACGTCCTTTGTACCCGAACAGAAAGGTAATGAAAAATAGGAATAGGTCTCTTGGCGATTGTGATATGGTCCAACTGTGCTCATCCACAGTACAACTTCGTCGTTATCTTCGTACTAATGAAACAAAATACTTATGTATGTACTCACGTCTATTGATAGATTAGAGCGAACGCGATAAACGCGTAAATAGCGGAACAAGCGCGTGTAAAAATGATTGATGTCAAGAGACGGGTTCATTTTTAAGATTGGGCGCGATCGCGACACGCTGATTTCGTCTAAACGTCGTGTAAATATCAAGCCATAAATCAACGATACGTTACGCGTCGACTTTCGGTCGCAGACGATCGGAGCGAGAGGAGACGAATTATATGTAATACGAGATAACGAGAGGCGAAAATTGAAAAACCGACGTGGATGAACGGTCGGGACGGATTTGCACGTTTGACATTTCGAAAACATGTCGATTCCTCGGTACTTACGACGTGAGTGTGCTCGTCGGGACGGGCAAAGGGGAGTAGGCTGAGCGCCAGAAAGGGGAATAACAATCGAGCCCGACACATGTTCATCGTGACGGGAAGGCGCGCTAGGCGCCTTATGCTAATACAGACAGAAATTCAAAGATATCCGACAACGAAAACACTCCATAGATTCACGAAACGGGAGCTACGTAGCAGAAACACCGGACGGACAGGCACCATAGACCAGCAGCAGCCCACCAGCGGACACAGACACCACGGACACGTATTAAAATACGATGATGACACTCGCCGCTAACGCCGCTAATCTGCGTCAGCTACGAACGATGTTCGTCCATCGACACAGTAGATGGTGCTGGAAGTACGAAAACGTTCGGAAGAATTCCGCGATGCGTTTCTGATCGGGACGGGTCAGACTCAGACGGGTCAGACTCGGGGTGCAAGACAGATGATCAACAAATATAATAATTTCCATGAACAAGATCGAAGATATACGTTTATATTTTATAAATTCTTCTCGTATAATTACAATCGTTCGACAGTTGAAGTATAATAATTATTCCTCGGGCCAAGGCTTCCCTATGCCCTGAGACGCGCCCATTCTCGATGGATCCTGGCTCGGATAATGTATCGGAGCGGTTCCAGGTGGGAAGATCGGGGTTGCGGTTGCGGCTGCCATTTGAGGAGGGAACATAAATTGCGGAGCAACGGGCGGAGGTGGAATCATCATCGGCGGCATCATGCCCGGGGTAGTTTGCAGATTGAAAAAATTGTTTCCCATACTCTCCGGCGGTGGTGGTAAAGCCCCGGGCAAGCCTGGTACCGGTTCTAGGATCTCTCTGGTCGCTTCTGCCGCAGATATCGTTTGCCTTCCTTGCGAACGTCCCCACTTAATCGTCAGTCTTCGACCTCCCAGTATCAGCTTGTTGAACGTCCTCTCTGCTGCGGCTTCCGCAGCGCTTCTTTGCGTGTACTGGATGAAGGCACATTGCTGACGAGGGACCATGGTCACCGATCGTATTTCTCCGTACTGGTAGAAATGATCGCGCAGCTGTTTCTCCGTTAAAACGTCGCCCAAGTTTCCAACGTATAAGGTCGTGATAGATTTGTCTTCCGGCGGGTCTAACTTGGGCATGGCCGCAGCTCTGCGCATCAGTTTGTCCGCAACAGGGTCGTTAACACCGTAATAACGGTCTTTGATATTTTGATCCGCTAACGGGTCATCGGGATCCGTCGGTTTCTCATGCCGATACGGACATTCCTCTCCTCTTTTGCATTCTCCTTTCACCCAGAATGAACAGATGTGAGGTCTGTTCCGTTTGTAATAAGGACTGGTCCTTGCCAGCTTCATCAGCAGGTCACTGGCTGCTGCGGACTTCCCAACAGCACCTGCAGGCGAGGTTGGATCTATCTTCCCGATTTCACTGTCTATGTTCTGAACGTAGTATTCTTTGTTCACGTCTGATCTGGGTAAATCGTCTTTGATCTTGAGTGCCGCGTCTCTCACTTGAATGGGTAAACCATACTCCAAGTCTAACAAACAGGTCTGGCAGACGTTCTTTAAACGGCTGCACGTCTGACAGACCTCCGTCTTCTTGAATCTCATCCTTGCGCCAGGACACCATCTAAACACGGTGAATGGCCGCATACATATTTTACACTCCTTTCCGTATCTCTCCTTCGTCTGTGAACCATGTTGAAAAAATATTTGTCGAAATTGAACGAAATTGTTACATCTTAGAACATCGTTCGACTTACCATACGAATATAGGGATTGTCACCTAAGCAAGTCTGACATAATATCGGGAATTCCTAGAACAAAACGATACCGAGTCATCAATTTGTCATTGTTATTGTATTAATTTGCGATCGCTGTGTACATTTACTCACAGCGTCTTCCCAGTTTTGTCTGTTGTATGTGTTTGTTGTTTTCGAAGTAGCCATTTTCAGTAGATCAACACTACGAGTTACGGGATACGAATGGATACGAGCTCACCTCATTCACTCGATTCACTCACACGCAAACACTATCGAAGCGAAAAGCGTAGTAGTGTAGAAAAAGTACATACACATATATTAAAGGCTCTAAACAGATGCTTTCTTACAGAGCCAGAGAGGAAATTTCCTCTCTGTTAGGTTAGAACCTTTTGGGCACCGTATATTAGGTCCAAATAAAATGGACAAATAAGTAAAAATAAATAAATATTACGAGTAAATATACATATTTCACTTAACGTGCTTATTTAATGGATATTAATTAACGATAAAACGCGCTGATTTAAAGAAAAACTCTACAATTAAACCGGAATTGACATCGAAACGCGGCTGAAGGTATCGCAATATTACATTACTTTCAGGAAGGCTTTCATGAGCGAGTGACGTCACAGCTAGGGATGTCGTGTGACCGCGAACCCGTGCGCAATGTTGAACTTTTGACAGAATTCAAATGATTATTTCAAATAACATGAACTCAAACAATGTAATATTGTATTTTTAAGATCATTCTTAAAAAAATTTCTTGAATTCCAATCCTATCTTGGCGTTCCGAACTTAATGGTACCTACAAAATGAAAACGTTGGTACGGTACTTAGGTACTAGGTTACTACTAACAACTTCTACTGCGCACGCCCCGAAAATCCCACGGTGTGTGTGCCCCATGGACGTGGCCGATGGAAGGGATGGAAGCAGTCCCTCATCCCTTCCATCGGGAAGGAACGACAAGGAACAACGAACGGTTAAACAGACTTAGCGAGACTCGCGACGCAGAAGGCCGCGGGAAAAGTAGTGCGTGCTCGTTGCAAAATGGCCACGTCCGACTCGAAAGCGCCTCTGCGTACTGTGAAAAGGGTCCAATTCGGCATTCTATCCCCTGATGAGATAGTAAGTTGGTTGATTGCGAGTCGTTGTGCCCGTGGATCATGTTTTTTCCCCAGTCATTTCGTCACATGTCGACATTTCACGAAACGTTGGAACGCGCTACAAACTCGCATCGATGCACCGTTGCATCGTTGCACTTTGTAACGTTTACAAGAATAAAGGCTTTTCAGAATTATGAGTAACACGAAAAAATAAGAACGATCTATCCATGCTGCGATCTTTATTGTTCGACGTGTACTTCGCTGTACATCGTCGTACCATGATTCTCAACAACTTTTGTAACATTTTATACAGCGTCGGATGTCGGTCACGGATGGCGGCATTCGATTTCCAGAAACGATGGAAGGTGGTCGGCCAAAGCTCGGCGGACTGATGGATCCGAGACAAGGCGTGATCGACAGAAATTCCAGGTGCCAGACGTGTGCCGGGAATATGACAGAATGTCCAGGACATTTCGGGCACATAGATCTGGCTAAACCAGTTTTCCACGTCGGTTTCATAACGAAAACGATTAAAATTTTAAGATGCGTGTGCTTCTACTGCTCGAAACTGCTCGTCAGTCCGGTAAGCGAGGGATACATCGACGACTAGAACGTCTCTCCTGGTACTGTTCTAATCTGATGTTTGTTCCGATCGCAGCATAATCCGAAGATCAAGGAAATAGTAATGAAGACCAAAGGTCAGCCACGGAAACGTCTCAGTTTCGTGTACGATCTGTGTAAGAGCAAGAACATTTGCGAGGGAGGAGACGAGATGGACATCAAGAAAGATAATCAAGAGACACAGCCCGCGGAGAGGAAACTGGGACACGGTGGTTGCGGTAGATATCAGCCGAATCTTCGTAGATCGGGATTAGACGTAACTGCCGAATGGACGCATGTAAACGAGGATTCGCAAGAGAAGAAAATGGCGTTGACGGCGGAGAGAGCGTGGGAGATTCTGAAGCACATCACGGACGAAGAATCGTTCATACTCGGTATGGATCCGAAATTTGCGCGACCCGATTGGATGGTGGTGACGGTCCTGCCCGTTCCGCCTCTCTCCGTACGACCAGCGGTGATCATGTACGGTTCGGCGAAGAATCAGGACGATCTGACGCACAAACTGGCCGACATTATAAAAGCGAACAACGAATTAATTAGAAACGAGCAAGCGGGCGCAGCGGCGCACGTGATATCGGAGAACATAAAGATGTTGCAGTTTCACGTCGCGACGTTAGTGGACAACGATATGCCCGGCATGCCCAGAGCCATGCAGAAATCGGGCAAGCCGTTGAAAGCTATAAAGGCGAGACTGAAAGGAAAGGAAGGTAGAATACGGGGAAATTTGATGGGGAAACGAGTCGACTTTTCGGCTCGTACCGTCATCACCCCCGATCCCAATCTGCGGATCGATCAAGTCGGCGTGCCCCGCAGTATCGCGCAGAACTTGACGTTTCCCGAGATCGTGACGCCTTTCAACATCGACAAGATGCAAGAGCTTGTGAGACGTGGGAACTCGCAGTATCCGGGGGCGAAGTACATCGTCAGAGATAACGGGGAAAGGATCGACTTGAGATTCCACCCGAAACCGTCCGATCTGCACTTGCAGTGCGGTTACAGGGTGGAGCGGCACATTCGAGACGGCGATCTGGTGATCTTCAATCGACAGGTTAGTCTCGAAATTAGTACGCGTCCGTTTTCGTTTCGTCGTCTAATCTCGTTCGAATAAATTTCAGCCTACCCTGCACAAGATGAGTATGATGGGCCACCGGGTGAAAGTTCTCCCTTGGAGCACGTTCCGTATGAACCTCAGTTGCACGTCACCTTACAACGCCGACTTCGACGGTGACGAGATGAATCTGCACGTTCCGCAGTCCATGGAGACCCGAGCTGAGGTGGAGAACATTCACGTGACGCCACGACAGATCATCACGCCTCAAGCGAACAAACCGGTGATGGGCATCGTGCAGGACACGTTGACTGCGGTCAGGAAGATGACCAAGAGGGACGTGTTCATCGAGAAAGAACAGATGATGAACATCCTCATGTTCTTGCCCAGTTGGGACGGGAAAATGCCTCAACCGTGCATCTTGAAACCGAAACCGCTGTGGACCGGAAAGCAGATATTCTCCCTGATCATACCGGGCAACGTGAACATGATCAGAACTCATAGCACACATCCGGACGAGGAGGACGACGGTCCGTACAAATGGATCTCCCCCGGCGACACGAAAGTAATGGTGGAACACGGCGAACTGGTGATGGGAATACTCTGCAAGAAGACGTTGGGTACCTCCGCCGGATCTCTGCTTCACATTTGTATGTTGGAACTGGGACACGAAGTTTGCGGCCGATTTTACGGCAACATCCAGACCGTGATCAACAACTGGCTATTGTTGGAGGGTCACTCGATCGGTATCGGTGACACCATCGCCGATCCGCAGACTTATCTAGAGATCCAGAAGGCCATCAGAAAAGCGAAAGAGGACGTGATAGAGGTGATCCAGAAGGCTCACAACATGGAACTGGAGCCGACTCCTGGTAATACGCTGAGGCAGACGTTCGAGAATCAAGTGAACAGAATTTTGAACGACGCTCGTGACAAGACCGGTGGCTCTGCTAAGAAGTCGTTGACCGAGTACAATAATCTAAAGGCTATGGTGGTGTCGGGCTCGAAGGGGTCCAACATCAATATCTCTCAGGTGATCGCCTGCGTGGGTCAGCAGAACGTGGAAGGTAAACGTATCCCGTTCGGTTTTCGCAAGAGAACGCTGCCGCATTTCATCAAAGACGATTACGGTCCCGAGTCGAGAGGATTCGTCGAGAACTCTTACCTCGCCGGTCTGACCCCGTCGGAATTTTATTTCCACGCTATGGGAGGCCGCGAGGGTCTCATCGATACCGCTGTGAAAACCGCGGAAACCGGTTACATTCAACGTCGGCTGATAAAGGCCATGGAGTCCGTGATGGTGCACTACGACGGAACCGTGAGGAACTCCGTGGGCCAACTGATCCAATTGCGTTACGGCGAGGACGGTCTGTGCGGTGAAACCGTCGAGTTCCAGAATCTGCCCACGATCAAATTGAGCAACAAGGCGTTCGAGAAGAAGTTCAAGTTCGATCCGACGAACGAACGATACCTCCGCCGTATCTTCAACGAGGACATCGTAAAGGAGATGATGGGATCCGGGGAGGTGATATCGGAATTGGAGCGCGAATGGGAACAGCTGAACAAGGATCGCGCCGTGCTCAGGGAGATCTTCCCCAGCGGCGAGTCGAAGGTCGTGTTGCCTTGCAATCTGCAGAGAATGATCTGGAACGTGCAAAAGATCTTCCACATAAACAAGCGTGCACCGACCGATCTCAGTCCGATGAGGGTCATACAGGGTGTGAAAGATCTGCTGGACAAGTGTATCATCGTCGCTGGTGACGACAGGCTTAGTAAACAGGCGAACGAGAACGCGACGTTGCTGTTCCAGTGCTTGGTCAGATCCACTCTGTGTACGAAGTGTGTCTCCGAGGAGTTCCGATTGTCCAGCGAGGCGTTCGAATGGCTGATCGGTGAGATCGAGACCAGGTTTCAACAGGCCCAAGTGTCGCCCGGCGAAATGGTGGGCGCATTGGCCGCGCAGTCGCTCGGCGAGCCCGCGACCCAGATGACTTTGAACACGTTCCACTTCGCGGGTGTATCGTCGAAGAACGTGACCCTGGGCGTGCCCAGGTTGAAAGAGATCATCAACATCAGTAAAAAGCCAAAGGCTCCGTCTCTGACGGTCTTCTTGACGGGGGCCGCGGCGAGGGACGCCGAGAAAGCGAAGAACGTGCTCTGCCGACTGGAACACACCACGCTGAGGAAAGTCACGGCGAACACTGCCATCTATTACGATCCGGACCCACAGAACACGGTCATCGCGGAGGATCAGGAGTTCGTCAACGTTTATTACGAGATGCCCGACTTCGACCCGACCAAGATATCGCCGTGGCTGCTTCGCATCGAATTGGACCGGAAGAGGATGACCGACAAGAAATTGACCATGGAACAGATCGCGGAGAAGATCAACGCGGGCTTCGGCGACGATCTCAATTGTATATTCAACGACGACAACGCTGAGAAATTGGTCCTGCGAATCAGGATAATGAACAGCGACGACAATAAATTCCAAGACACCGAGGAGGAGACCGTGGACAAGATGGAGGACGACATGTTCCTCCGGTGCATCGAGGCGAACATGCTCAGCGACATGACGTTACAGGGTATCGAGGCGATAGGAAAAGTGTACATGCATCTGCCACAAACGGACTCGAAGAAGCGCATAGTCGTCACGGAAACGGGCGAGTTCAAGGCGATAGCGGAATGGTTGTTGGAAACGGACGGCACGAGCCTGATGAAGGTGTTGAGCGAAAGGGACGTCGACCCGGTGAGAACGTTCAGCAACGACATCTGCGAGATATTCCAAGTGTTGGGCATCGAGGCCGTGAGGAAGTCAGTGGAGAAAGAGATGAACGCTGTTCTACAATTCTACGGCCTCTACGTGAATTATCGTCACCTCGCGTTGCTCTGCGACGTTATGACGGCGAAAGGCCACCTGATGGCCATCACCCGTCACGGGATCAACCGGCAGGACACCGGGGCTCTCATGAGATGTTCCTTCGAGGAAACGGTCGACGTGCTGCTGGACGCGGCGTCTCACGCGGAGGTCGACCCGATGAGAGGAGTCTCCGAGAACATCATCATGGGACAGCTACCGCGGATAGGCACGGGATGTTTCGATCTGCTGTTGGACGCTGAGAAGTGTAAGGCCGGCATCGAAATACCGATGGCGGTGGGCGCCGGTGTAATGGGAACCGCCGGGATGTTCTTCGGCAGCGTGGCTACGCCGAGCATGAGTCCTCAAATGACGCCTTGGATGGGTGCCACGCCCGGTTACGGCGCCTCGAGCATGTCACCGGCGCTCGGCAGCGGTATGACACCGGGTGGAGCGTGCTTCTCGCCTTCTGGCGCGTCGGACGCCTCGGGACTCTCGCCAGCGTATTCCGCGTACTCGCCGCAACCCGGAAGTCCAGGGAGTCCGGGACCCAGCATGAGCCCGTATCCGATGTCACCGGCGGGCGGCGCTTCGCCGAGTTACTCGCCCACGTCTCCCGCTTACTTACCAACCTCGCCGAGCATAACACCGTCCAGTCCGAATTATTCGCCGACGAGCCCGACTTACTCGCCGACCAGCCCGAATTACTCGCCGACCAGTCCGAGCTATTCGCCGACCAGCCCGAGTTACTCGCCTACGAGTCCGAGCTATTCGCCGACCAGTCCGAGCTATTCGCCGACGAGTCCGAGTTACTCACCGACCAGTCCGAATTATTCACCGACCAGTCCGAGTTACTCGCCGACGAGTCCGAGCTATTCTCCGACCAGCCCGAGTTACTCGCCGACCAGCCCGAGTTACTCGCCGACCAGTCCGAGCTACTCGCCCAGCCCCAGTTACTCGCCGACCAGTCCGAGTTACTCGCCGACGTCTCCGAGTTACTCGCCGAGGAGTCCGAGTTACTCGCCAACGAGTCCGAGCTACTCGCCGAGCTCTCCGAATTACACGCCTGCCTCGCCGTCTTACTCCCCGTCGAGCCCGAGCTACTCGCCGAGCTCTCCGCAATATTCACCGGCCAGTCCCTCGTACTCGCCGAGCAGCCCGAAGTATTCACCGACGAGTCCGTCGTATTCGCCCACTTCGCCCTCGTTCGCCGGTACCTCGCCTCAGTACACGCCGGCGAGTCCCACGTATTCGCCGACGAGCCCAACATACTCGCCGACCAGCCCGTCTTACTCTCCCAGCTCGCCCCAGCACACGGCATCGGGCAGCACCAGATACTCGCCGAGCAGTCCAAACTATTCGCCGACCAGCCCGACCTACTCACCCACGAGTCCCCAGTACTCGCCGTCGAGCACGAAATACTCGCCGACGAGTCCGACTTACACGCCGACGAGTCCGAGTTACTCGCCGACGAGCCCGACTTACTCGCCGCCAGTGCCTGGTTACTCGCCCACGAGTCCCACTTACTCGCCGGCCTCGCCAGCTTACGAGACGGACGACACGGCCAAGTGAACGAGAGACTAACGAATGTCGGTCCATTTTCAGACGCGAATTACTATTAAGCATTTACTGTATGGACTAGCTGTAAGTATTCAAAAGTGTAATTACTTTCAGCTGTTTTATAGCCTGTGTAACATATATTTCGCGTATAATCTTCATCTTTGTGATTCGCGTGACCACCTGTTCACAACCACCTGTACGACTGTAGGTCGGAGTGTGTTTTTACAATCTTTCTATCGAGGGAGATGAGAAACAGTGGCTACGATCAAATTGGCGAACCAACTGGAAGGAAGAAAAGAAGCGCGTTTGTGGGTCTTCTTTTGCTTGCTGCAGCCGCGTCTCTCGCTACACGTACGTTCGCGTTCGATACGGTGTCGTGTTACGTTCGGTGCGGTGCGCGTCACCGCAAAACGGAAAACCGGTTGACGGTGTGCATGCACGCATGCACCGGAACGGAGACGACGGCGACGACGGGGACTCGTGTCGGGTATTATTCGCAGCCATGAATCGCGAGGGACTACCGCTACTTTTCAAGGATGCCAATTCCGAATTATCGCTTTTGTTCGCGACGTTGTGCGTCATCGACATCTTCGGCGTTTTCCCGATTATCGCGTTACCGCGCTCGATCGTACAATGCGGTAAGTTCCTCGGTCTCGTCCTGACCACCACTGTGCAAAGGACATAAAAAAGTTTTTCAGTTCAGTTTCCTTTGCGAACACCCTCGCGCCGCCTCCGTACTTTTCATACTCCATTTATTTTGCGATGCGCAACCTTGTGTTTCGCAGATTCTAAGTGATAATATATCAACATACGAGCATAGACGGGTGAAATGTACTATATATATAAGTTGAAAGTTACTTGGAGTTCGATTTCGTTTAAGTTGATTTGTTGGTTTATTCAATCGATTGGCATGGAATCGTTGTAAGCGACAAATTTTTCACCTCACCAGTGTAAGTCGATCATTCTCAACGAATAAATCGGTGAAATCGTTCAAATCGCTTCTTGTTGTTCAATCTACTACATCGTCCTATCTCGGGCTCCTTCACGTATACATGTTTCCGCACGTACCTGATTCTCGCGCGGAACGACAAGAAGAACCTTTTTCAACACCGTTATAGGACTCTACGGGATCCCTTTGGTCATCGTCGTACTGTTTCTGCAAGTGTACACGGCCGTACTCCTTGGCAAATCATGGATAATCGCGACCACTCTGGACCCTCAAATTTTCCGGAAAAATCGGTACGATTCTCTCCTTCCCCGTTCCCGTTGCTATCGACGCCAAATTTAATTTTGGACTTATTTCACAGAAATCCCCTCGCGGCGGTTACCGAATTGACTCTGGGTTCTCGAGCAAGGATGTTAGTCACGGTTATCCAAGACATCACCGTATTTGGCTGCAGCATACCTAATCTGTTAGTTGGTAAGTACGGATCGAAGGAAAGGCACAATTCGATCGGCATTAATCGAGTAACGTGAAATTTCAGCCTCGCAAAACTTACAAAATTTCGGATTGAAAATCTCCGGCCAACGGTTCGATCTCTCATTTTGCTACTGGCTTCTAGTAGTGGGCGTTCTTCTATGTCCGATCATGTGGCTCGGCAGTCCGCGAGACATGAAGTACTTCATCCCCCCGCCGTTGAATAAATCCCCCGCGCCGATATAATTAGTAACGATCGGAAACGTTGCAGGGTGTTAGCGTCGATTTCTTGCACAACGGTCGTGCTAACGGCGGTATTGATATGGTGGTGCATAATCACGGATGCTCGAGAGCTCGACGTCGGCCCGGTGCCGACTGCTCCTACCTGGGATAAATTTATCTCCGGCTACGGAATGCTAGCGTTTCAATTCGACGTACACCCGACTCTGATGACCGTGCAAGTAGACATGAGTCATCCTCGGGACATCGACAAGGCTGTTATTATCTCGTTCTTCGGTAAGCAATACGTGTGGCAGTGGCAGTTGATCGTCTCGCGATAATCGTCTGATCCGCTCGTTACAGTTAGCGGCTCGTTGTTCGTCGTCACTACCGTGTTGTCAGTCTTTAAATACGGTGGTAGCACGACCGCCAATGTTCTCCAAGAGATTCCGGACAGTTTTGCAGCCAGCGCGGCTGTGCTGATCGCGGCCGTTCAACTTTGCCTGTCCAGCGCTCTCGGTCATTCGGCACTCTTCCAGGACCTGGAGGATCAATACCGTGTTCGAAGAGGTAAGTCGGTGATCGGTGAACACACGATCGAGCGTTCAAAAACTGATTCGTCGTGTGCGATTCGAATTGCAGGCTTCGGATGGAAACGATGCGCCATACGATCGGCCATTGTTTTTCTCGGAGTGGCCGTAGGCGAATCCGTCCCGAGGTTCGACATCGTGATGGCGTTGATCGGAGGATCGTTGACCGGACCATTGGTTTTCGTCTTACCACCTTTGATCTACTCGAGAGCTATCGCTCTCGAGGCAAGATCCGTGCGACCTCTGACCCCCGAGGTGTACTCCGGTTCCCAGAGACGTCGCAACAGCGAGCAGAGCATGTCGATCGATCCGAGGATTCACTCGAAATCTATTTACTACGGTATCTTGGGTGTACCTAAAAACGAATTCCAAAGATACTCGTACGTTTACTACGACGAGGAACTACTGGATGACGAATTCGACCAAGATTCCGATTACAAAGGCGATGCCGAGCAGAATCCTGGACAGAGCGAAGGTTTCATAATGACTAGAAGAGCTCGGGACGACCCGGTATTCGTGGACGCCAGCCGACCGTTCAGAGTCTACAGGAGATCCCCGGGTGCGCCGGAGCGACTCGTCTCGACTTCGACGATACGTTTCGGCTCACGCAAATGGAACGATTGGATCGGTTGCCTGATCGTCTTCTTCGGCGTCGCAGTTACCGTTTCTTCGACGTACATTAATGTCAGAAACACCATTCGATACGTACGATTCGTGCCACCGTGCATCGTGAACGCCTCGGTAGTACAAAGTCCAACGTAAATCGGTTCGCGTCGAAAGAGAGCACACAAATTTTTCTACGTTTTTGAAACATCAGAGATACAAGTATTTTTATCATCGATACGAAAAGTAGGAAGTCTCAGTTTACAATGTCAATTTTCAAGAATATATCACAATTTTTCACCACTGTCGTGTCACTAACTCCGAGATATGTTTTGCGTTGGTCTTCTCCTCCTATCAATTCCCGTCATCTTCCAACGTGTCCAATTATTCTCATTAAATATGATACTTACGATGGGAACAAATTTAGATTCCGAGAGAGCAAATCGGGAGCAATATTTTCAGATAGAAACTGTTGAGAAACGTTAATATTCCGCGCCAACTACTTATATTACAGTCATTTCAAATCGATACTGTTTGACACCGCAAAATAAGAACAATTTTAACCTACGTCTGGACAAATAGTTACTGATGTAATTTTATTTTGAAATTGAATGTAAAGGGAATGTGAAAATACAGGAACGGTGTAAATTATAAAAATAATAAACGTTATTCGTTCATTGTATCATTTACTTATTATTTAATCAATTATTAGGTTAATT